TCTTATATCAGATCTTTCACAGTACTTCTTAAAGTCTGTAAACTCTTCAGATTATAGATACTCTCTTCAAGAATTCTCACAGAGATTCTCAGAGTGTTAACTCTCAGTATTATAGAAAGTAGTTATACAGACTTCTTTTCTCTCTCTTCTCTCTTCTCTTAAAAGAGATTAAGAGACTCTTTAGTCAATCTCTTTACAACACTCAGTCTGAGTATTCTGTAAAGCTTTTCTATCTTCTCTAGTCTCTCTGTATCTGTTATTCTGATCTTCTTAATATAGTCTGATCTGTAAGAGAGTCTGTCTGCTGAGTTCTTAGTTCTCTTGATATATTCTATTTTAAATCAGAACTTACTCAGTCTCTGAGCTCAGTAAATCTATTACTATAAGAGTTTCTTAATTAAAGTAAACTATTATAAGCTGTTATAATTAGTTTTAATAGTAATCACTGTTATAATATTCTTAAAGTAGTGATATCAGTGATAAAAGAATTTCACTATTATAAGAAGCTTCTAATTATAAATGTTATAATTAATCTCTATAAGTTATATCTTCTATAAGAAAAAGATCACTGAAACTCAGTTCTTATTTAACTGTAGTTATAAAACTATTTCTGAAATTATAAAGAAAAAGACATCTATCTTCAATCTGATTAAGAGTAAGAAATCAAAGTGAAACAGTATTACTGTATTTATAAATATCTATTTTAATCTTATAAAGACTCTGTGAGCTTCTGAGATAAGAAAGTTCTCACAGTTAGACTGGTCACTGAAATCATGAATTTCACATTTAATCTCATTTGATCTGATTTCATACATTTCTTAGCATGAATCCCGCTGAGACTAATCATTAAATAAACATGTAAAGTGACTATATATCAGATCTCAAAATGAAATCATAACTTGAAAAAAATGAGAAAGTGATCTCATTTAATCTCATTTAGTTTCATTCTTGACATAAAGTTACTATTTTTAGACATTTTAAGGTTTTTTTTAGACTATTTTTAATTTTTTAAAAAGTAACACTTTTTGGTAATACTCAAATGAGATTTAAAGTCATTTAAAGCAATAAAAATAATTTAAATTGAGAAGTGAAAATCATGGTCTTATTTGAAAAATGTGATAAGAGTAGACAGTAAGTCTCACTGAGACAGTATGAGACTACTATCTAATGTTAGAACCGTGTAATGAGATCTGTTAAATTGATAATAAAACTATCAAAAATTCTGATTCTGATTTCAGAGATAATTACACAGTCAGTCTACTCACAGTTCTCTCTTCTTAATAATCTTTTCATTCTTCATTTATAGAATAACTTCTTCTTATTTTCACTCTTCAGTATATCTGTAAGAGTTAAGAAGATTCTTATAAATATAAAGATAAACTATCTATAGAAATTCACAAAGCTCAGAAAGATCTGAATCTTATAAATATTAATTAACTTCAGTTATAATAGAATAGTTTTAACTTATAAAGATTTCATCTGAATATTATCTGCAGTGATTATATATTTTAGAAAATTAATTTAATAAGTACTGAAGTTATACTTTATAAGCTTAATATACAGTTCTGTCTTATCTAAGATCTTCAATATACTTTATATATACTCAGTGTATTTCTTCTTCTTCACAGAGTATATTATCACATTATTCAGATATATTATTATAAAGATATTTAGATATATATAAAGTATTTTATTAATGAAAGACTGAAATACTATGAGAGTATTAATCAGACTAAAAGACATTACTAAATATTTAAATAATCTCAGTGCAGTTCTAAAGACAGTCTTTTATTCATTCTCAGACTGTATTTACAGCTATGTATATATATTAATCATATTCAGTTATATGAATATGACAGCTTTTATAAGACAGTTAATTATATTCTCAATCAGAGATAAAGAATAGTGACTCTTTATTATCTTGAAGTTCAGATTATAGTAGTTTATATATAATCTGAGATCTTTATTCTTCTTCTTTATAAATATTACAGAGACTTCTGCAGAGATCTATGAAGATTAGATAAAGTTATTCTTTAAATTCTCTTTTACATAGATTTATAAGATCTCTATCTTATAATGAGAGAGCTTATAAATTAATTCTCAGAAGAGTTTCTACTCTTCTATTAAATCTATTACTAGATTCTTCTTATAGTGAGAAGAAAGCTTAGCTATCTTTACTAAGTTAAATATCTTTATAAGATCTCAGTATTTCTCTGATATCTGAAGCTCAGTTTTCATAACTATGAGATTCTCAGATATTTGTAAAGTTATTATATAAATAAGCTTATCTTCTCTAATTAACTTTGTAGTATTAACTGATTCTATCTTTATAAGTAAGTCTATCAACACTGATCAGAAGTATAAACCTGACTTATAAATAGTTATATACAGATTATGTCTTTAAAGTTATATAAGTCTTAAGTATATATTATTTATAATATTTATAATAATCATAGTTTCTGTAAATCTTCTTCAGATTTCAGACAGATCTTATAATTTAAAAATAACTCTTATAAGTCTTTTAACTCTCAGATCTGAGTTCTCATACTCTGCTTATTATAAGAATAGATTCTCAGTTTTCATTATTCAGCTTATTCACTCTATGAGCTTTAGAAACACTATAGTAATCTGAGATTCTGAGTTTATTAATACTTTTTATACTTATAGAGTAGTAGTACTACAGTATAATCTCTTTTCATAAGTAAGTATTTTCATCAGAGAAGTAACAGATTCAGATATCAGTTTTAAGACTTTTAAAAAGACTGTTACTAACTCTGTCTATAACTTCTTAAATTTCTATTTTAATTTATTTAGATAGTTTATACAGAGATATTCTGATTTAGAATAAATAAAGTAGAGTCTCTTTTTCTTAATCTCTCTGTTATATACTCTATTTATAAGAGCTTGTAAAGCTCTCTCTCTCTGCTCAGTAGTCAGATATAAATCTCTTTATATTTTATTATCTTTCTCTAATAAATCTGTTCTCTGTTATTCTGACTCTTGTAGAGCTAATCAGTGATTCACTCTTTATAGATCTATAACTTTTACAGTGATCTGTAAGTAATAAATAAGAGTTATCAGTTTCTTCAGAGTTAAGAACTTAGAGTCTTACTTAATAAGCTTATTCTACATATCTTTATTCAGTCTCTTTATAAATATTATTATTCAGATCTTATTTCAGAGCTCTATTTTCACAGATCTTAATTTATATTATAATTTTATAAAGTACTGTGAGTAGTCTTTATCAGATTTCTTATCTCTTTTTCTAATATTAATAATTATAATTCAGATATTCTTTATTCAGTTTATAAAGTTTCTTAATTTATTCTTTAAATAGATTTTAAGAATAGATTAGTATAATCTCTTATAATTATTCTCTAGATAATTCAGCTAGTTCTTGACTTCAGTATAGTAGAGATTTGTTATTATATAGATAACAGCTTCTTTATCTTTTATATTATATAGCTGAGCTTATAAGTCAATTTTAAATACAAACTTATAAAAGCTTTTATAGATTATGATTTAATAAGTGATCTTAAGTAATTATAGCTTAAGAAAGTTTCTTTTCAGTTCATAGATATCTCTGAAAATTATATCTAGAGACTCAGTTTAAGAATATTTATAAATAGTAAATATTTCTTATAGAAAAATAGCTTGATTCTATAAGAGATACTTAAGAATATTCTTTACTAAGATTGATTTATTTATAAATTTAAAGAATTTCTCTATTACAGATGTAGAGAATAGTATTTTATAAATAATTAATAAGTTCTCTGAGACTTCTTTTATAGAGATTATTCATAATTTAGATAGCTGTTTCTAAGTGTCTGTAGTAGAGTTTATAGAGATTGAAGTATATAAGTTTTTAGTTCTTTCAGTTATAATAAGTGATTACTGACTGACTGAGCTTGAAATGTAAGAATAAGTACTTACAGATGATTATTCAGATGTTTATAACTTGATATAATATAAACTATTAACTACTAGAAGTATTCATAATAGAAAGATAAAATATAGAGATTAAATATATAATAGTATTCAAGCTAAGTTATGAATAGTATTCACAAACTTCAGTTTATATAGTTATGTGTAGTCAAGAGCTGCTAACTCTATTGATTACATAAGAGATAGAAATAGAGGTAAAGAATCCGCGAGAAGCGGGATTTCTTACAGATAGAGAAACTATGATATACTTTCACTCTCTATTTAAATTAATTCTCTATTCAACTCTAGCTTTCACTTCATCTCTTACTATTTTCTAAAGCTTTTAATTCTATCTTCTCTTTCTGCTCTTTTCTTTATATATAATTACTTCTTCTATAAGAGCTTTTACTTCTTCTTTACAAAGTCTTTATTCTTCTCTTTATATATAATTACTTCTTCTATAAGAGCTTTTACTTCTTCTCTACAGAGTCTCTGTTCTTTTCTTCATAGATAATTACTTCTTCTACAAGAGTTAATCTCTATAAAACAATCACAGTATATATAAGAGTGTATACTTATCTCTCATCTTTTAGAGAATTAGATGAGTTTTTACTCTTATATCTGACTCTATATAGCAGTGTATACTATATTTATACTTTTATTAATCAGTTTAAGTAATAGTCTTTTATATTTTTATATTATATAAAAAATAGTAACTACAGTTAAATTAATTATAAATATATATAAAAAATAAAATATATAAAAATTTTATATTAATATTATATAAATTTAAATTCAATTCTTTTTAAAATAAAATAAATAATAAAATTTTATTAAAAAATTATTTTTATTATATATTTAATTTAATAGTATTTAATAAAAAAAATATTAAAGAATTGAAAATTGATTATAAAAATTATATATATTTTTAAAAAAAGTCAGAATTAAAATTGAAAAATAATTATATTTACAATAAATAAAAATAAGTCAAGATAATGAGAAAATTGATAATAAGAATACATAGAGTATAAAATTTGAAGCAATTATAGAATTTTGTATGAGAAATTATTGATTAATTGAGACATGTGACTGCAGTAGCTGAAGCCACTATCAACAGCTTCAAACATATTATTGATCAAGATGGAACAATTCATGAGTAAACATTCAAATCTATTATTTGCTGATCTTGATACTAGGACTTCTGATATGATATGCAACCTTTTGCCCTTCTCATTGACCCAGTTTCACATGAACGGCCACACGCTGTCTGTTCCCCGCGACTCTTGGTTGCGTCGATCTGGCAATTGAGACCTTGAAGACATCAAGGTCCAAATGGCTGCTACCAATGTTAAACAGTCCTTCACTGATCCGTGGAGGACGTCACCGCACAAAACCCCTGCGCGTTCAGGAGAAGTGACCAATGGTCGCATCGCTCACACATTAACCGCCTGTACGCGGTGCAGACAGGTATAACCAGCCTCCTCTATCCCTGTGCCTGGGGCTGCTGATGTTGTACAGTACATACGATATCCATACCCTCCTTCCTGTTCCACCGCCTTTGAATATGATATTGTGAACTTTTCATCCATCACTTACATTTGCTTCCACTCACGTATGATAATGCAGAGAAAATCGAGATGCGACCCAGGGATACCCAGATGCGAGCCCTGCCAACGATCCAATACGAAATGCGTATACTATGACCCAGCAAGAAATCGAAATATATCAAGGACGTATATATTGCAGTTGCGCGAAAGGATAAAGATTCTTAGCCAGGAATTGGCTCAGGTCGAGAGCGAAATCAGCCATTGTCCTGATGCCGAACTCATGGTTCGCGGGGCAGGTCTCATAAGGTTCAAAGAAACAGATGAGCCCAGGTTCCTAGGACCGTCAAGTGGCATCACGATTACTCGTCTTGTGATGGAAATGGCAAAGCAGAATACAGATTCGAAGAGCATTAAAGAAGTCGTGAATGAGGCCACTGCGCAGGAAATCAAATATGCTTTTACCCAGGAGAGTCAAAAACCAACCTCGAAAATATATCCAATGATAAGTTCTGTTGCGGAGCCTAATCTCCCACCACGGGAGTTGACCTACCGACTCGTGGATATATTCATGGTCAAAGGTAAAGCCCATGTCTCGCCAACGCCGTTTATTCTTCAAGTCTCTGTCTATTGACTGACATTTTCTACCAGCGCAATACATGCTTCCCACCTTGCATGAACCTTCATTCCGCCGGGAAATAGATGCTGTTTTGGACGGATCTCAAGACCCTTGCCATAATTTCCAATCCCGACTTGTCATTGCGATCAGCATGCAGAAGCTCAGCCCACAGTATGCGGGATTGGCAGACAGCTACTATCTGGCTGCACTTCCCTTTTTGGATCCTTCAATAAAACGGATGGACATATCCACTCTACAGTGTTTAGCACTCATCGCGCAGTATTCATTATTAACGCCAACAAGGACTGCCGCATATTGGGTAGTGGGGGTTGCTGTTAAAATTTGCCAAGATCTAGGTTTAACGGATGAGGAGACCATAACGAAGTCATCGTCAGGCCCGCTAGATTGTCTCGAACTAGATATGCGAAGGCGCCTATTCTGGATTATAACATCAATGGAATATGGTTTGTCTCATAGCCTTGGTCGTCCGAGTGCTTTCGCCATAACCCACGATCATATAAATGTTGAATTCTTTTCTATGGTTGATGATCGTTTTATTACACGCGGCGGCATCCTGCCCGGCAGCCAACCAATTATGAAGAAGTGTATTGCAATTCATTTCTTTAAAATGAGACTCCTCCAGGCCGAAATCCGACGAACGTTATACCTTAAAAAGCGAGATAGACCCCACGATGACAATGATCCGTGGTTTACTAATATGTTAGCTAAACTTGATCGCTGGGTTGCGTCCTGCCCGAAAAATGATGAGGGTAGCGGGCTTAGCGAGTTATGGTAAGTGGGAAGGTTTTTCTTATTTTATTTTATTTTACTTTCTACAGGATCATTTTTAAAACTTAGCACTGATTCGCATCAAGGTTCCAAGGAAGGCGGAATACGATGATCGTATTCATGTTTCGGCCATCTCCACAGGTCCCGGAACCTTCCCTTGAGGCTGCGACGAGGTGTTACAATGCATCTGTCTTTAACATAAAAATGCATAAAACTCAAGTCGACACGAATTCTGTGGACCTGACTTGGATTTTCACCCAGTCTGTATTCATGGCATTGAATACTGTTCTTTGGTCACTTTCATATCCTGCAATTCGACAGGAACATCCCATCGACGAGGTTAAAGGCCATATTGCTATTGCCTTAGACGTACTTATAGTGAGTGCGGAGCGATGGCCAGGGGTAGAATCTGCCCTCCAACTTTATAGAAGCCTTATTGCAGGCTGCCTCAGAGCTTATGGGACCGATGAATCTTTCGTGGTACAGTCTCCGTCCAACCGCTCCTCTCCTTCCTCGTCACATGAAGTCACGACCCCTCCATCCGTGTCCACTCCCCGTAGCGATGCTACGATTTCCGTCGCCTCATCTTGTCATACGACTATCGATGAGTGTGTGACGCCGGGCCCATCTCCATCACTCTCTCAAGCAATCCCCAACGTCGTTAATCGTCCACAGCCATATCCAGTTTGTGTCAGTCGGAACACATCCCCTAAGTCACCAACAGCCACTCCTTCACCAGCTCCCTTTGTACCACAGTCCAAGTACCAGGAGTCAACCCAGCTCAGGCAAGCAGTGGCGACGACATCATATGCACCTCCAGTTGCCAATCATAGCGACGTTCCGTTTGATCCAAATTCCCTATATAACCATTTTCCTTCCGTGCTTCCAGGCTTACAGCACTGGGATCCGAATTATACTACGGCATCCACGACAGCAGGCCATCTTACCTATTCCAATGCCAACGTTGACCCAATGTTCTGGCTAGGATCGATTGGGGACCAATACTCTCAATTCTTTAACCAGCCATACCCCATAGATGTCCGGGGACGAAGCTTAACTCAAGAGGAACATATGGAGCTAATGGCAAATTTGGTTCAAAACCCTCCGGAAGTTTCGTACCACATTAGTGAACCAATGGCGTACTACAACTGCGAAATGCCATAAAATTGCGGCTGCTGCCCACGATTGACTAATGATTCTGGAAATACAATAAACTCCCTTACACGCCTGCCACCTACCAGCCGGTGGCATAATAATGAAGATCGGCCTCATCGAATATTGTGTATTCATGTTGTCGCCTAATTCCCTTTTTTCTCCCTAGGCGGCAGACGCGCCGCATGGAATTCTCACTATATTATTAGAGGAACTGACATAATCCTGTCGCCTGTGTATATTTGTGCGCGCTTCAACGTCGTGTCATGGCGAACTGCGAAAATGGAGTATACGTCCATAGATATTCATGATCATTTCTTTGGCATATTTCTCTTTCATTTTGTTCTGCAAAGTGTTTGATTTTTATGGATCTCCTTTATTAATGCTTTTGCCATGGGATTTATGCCCATTTGGGGAGGACCCGGTGGATATTTTTACCTCCCAATCTAGCACCACATATTTACTTAGGTAATAGCTAAGTAGTTCCAGGGGTACTCAACGCATATCCCCATCAGCGCTCAAGTTGAATTCCTATTGAATGAAAATGTCAACGCGTTTGTTTGATTGTTAGGTAGGCTGGTCTTAACATTGGACGAAATAATTCAGGGAGCAATACCTTTCAAAGATGGAATATTTGCGCCGCTTTTAACTTAACTCTCTCGTCGATCCCTGGTTAACGATGATGTCTTTCACAAAGTTTGTGAAATGATACCAGTGGGGTTGGAGACCTTCCGGGAGTATGAAGGGATGCGTGGTGAGGGCCAAAGGTTCTCTATCTACACATGGGGGTAGCATTCCATTCCATCAAGATTCAAATCGCTGGTGTAAGCACTTTGGGAAAAGAAGTCGATGGTGAGGTGTTGAATATTCCAGTTGAAATATTTCCAAGTGTGGATACTATAAGTCCCCTGCGTTACTCTCGCTGATGCTGGTAAGACAAGCTCCTCCTTGCCCTATTATCATCGTATGCACCACGAGTAGGATTGGAATCCTACTCTGTCACATTTCTGTTCATGATGGCGTCCCAGTGGTTGAAAACTGTTTCTCATCGCCCCTTTCTCGTTTGAACCCTTCCTCTCCACCATTGCTGTTCCAGGAAGGAATTTCTCTCCGCGCCGGCGGGTTTCTTTCAGCTCGCTTCGAGAAATTTAAGGTGGAGGCAGGATTTAAATTGGCGCGAATGACAGGCTCCATGTTTTTATACATGTGTAGAATCCGAGCAAGATTTGGTGTTTACGCCTAAATAAGCTGGTTAGGAAGAGTATTCGATGCCATAACAATCATTATTTTACCAGCAAGGTTGGGTTTAGCTACGTTTGAGATAAAAAGCTGCTTCCGCAAAAGTAGCCAATTAACGTCCATTCTAGCCAAAATTGGACTTCCCACTTCTTCAGTCTATGTGGGGATGCGAGAAGAAAGTTTTCGCGCTCGCATGTTGGTAATATGGTTATATGGAGTACTAATTTCATGCGCACGTAGAAAGGTCGCTAGCGTATGGCGATGTTTTCACTTCAAAGGAGCTTCTCTCCTGCGATGGCAGGGCTGGAAGGCAAATCAAGTAGAAGATCCAAAATGAGTTCAGGCGCGAGCAGCCGTTGGAAAGAATTCAAGAAAGGGGATGAACCGAAGACGAGAAAAGAATTGACGCAGAAGAAGATATGTAAGTTACATGTAGAAGTAAAATGGCATTGTTACTATGAAAGAGACTGGAACGCAGAATACAAAATACAGATGTAAATGCCAAAAGAACCTGCCCACCAATAGATCATGATGCTTCAGAAGATAGGACTCATCAGAGGTTAAAGAAATAAACTTTATCCTTCGCAAGAGAATGGAAATTGACTATCATTCATGTCAAACTCGCGTGTCTATTTTGGAGGTAAAAATGGTACCTATCCATGATAGATACATGTAATTTGTGCTGATTTATAGCCCTCAAACTCAAAAACACCCGGATAGCTGTCGCTTGATCTAGCCGTGTGTGTTGCTTCTGGATGTGCCAGTTTCTCCAACATGGGTTCCTCCATCATTGATCGATTTTGATAAGGTCCCTCATATTCAATCGAATCATCTTCAGCCACAAAATATTTGTCCGTAGAGTGCCTTGCTATCAGGAAGCTGAGGAACATAGCAAGGCCACTGAACCCTGTGATTACAGCAAAGACACCTTGGATGCCTTTCACATAGCATTCGATAACGCTGAATTTGAACGGTGAAAATAAGGGTAGATTGTGAAGGGTTTCGATATACGCCTCTGCGTTCTTTGAAATTTCGGTTGGAAGCCCGGCGTCGCTTAGGCTCTGGGAAATAACGTTCTAGAAGACTGTGCCCCCCATTCCTATCCCTAGGGCAGCACCAACGGCCCGGAGGAATGAATACATCATAACTGCGTGGGCGACGTTGTTGACAGTTGAGATGGCCTGAACCCCGAGGTTGAGTGCACTGAGAATCAAGCCATGCCCAAACCCAAGAAATACTAGGATAGTAGCCCAAACAGGTGTTTTGGTATTGGCGTCCAACAGTAGTAGGAGGCCAGTTGAAAGTGTTGTGAGAACCCATCCTGCCCCTATTGCCCAGTAGGGCGCTGATTCTAGTACGAACAGGACTTAGCCCTTGAACAGCCTGTAAATAGAGCGGGATATAGTAAAGCGCAATGTACAGCTGTAATCTATTATTAGCCAACCATACAAGAGGAGGGGTGAATAGCATTCGCGTTGTCGTGCTGCCAACGTACCTCTAGTCCTTGAATCAATGAGCAGATATATGCGGCTATCGCAGACCGGCAATAGAACATGTTCTTTCGCAAAAAGGGAATATTCGCTATGCGGAACTCGTACCAAATTGTACACAGGAGTCCAAATATACCGATTAACATGGGAGCGAAAGTTGCCATGTGGTCCCATGCAAATTGAGTGCCACCCCAGGAGATCGCTATCAGGGGGAGGGTAGTACTTGTAATGAATAGAGTGCCTCCGATCCAGTCAACTTGTTTGATCTTATCCATAAATGAGGACTCCTGCCGTTGAAGCCTGAGCGCAATTGGAACCATTACGAAACCAATCGCGCAGAAGGGAAATTAATATAGAACGTCCATCGCCATGTTGAGTGTTCAGCAAATAAGCCGCCAAAAAGTGGCCCAAGGATGGTCCCAACTGCCCATGCCATTTGAATAATTGCTGTGAACTTCGGACGCTGCCTGAGAGGGACAATGTCGGTAAGAATGACATAGCCAAGGACAAAGACACCGCCGGCCCCCACTCCTTGGATAGAACGCCCGGCTAAAAGCGTGGAGAAATTCTGGGCTAAACATGCGATTAATGTACCGGTAGTAAAAAGGCTGACGCTGGCTAGCATCACTTCCCGGCGTCCGAATATATCAGACAAAACGGCGATGAAGGGTTGAAAAACGGCGTAGGTCAAGAGAAATGAGGTTCCCGCCCAAAAAGCGTGAACAGCAGTGCCATTTAGCTCGCTTGCTATCGTCTATCAGTCAGGAGTAAGAATACTGTCACGATCGTCAAAGGATATGATAGACACATACCGGAAGAACGGGGACAATGATGGTTGAATCTAAGGCAATCATTAGATAGAGCAAGAAGATCGAGGAAACTATCAGCCACTCTCTTCTTTGCGGCTTCCATTCCGGGGACCGTGGAGGAGAATCTTTGAATCCAACGTCTGATTCAGAAACTAGATAGCTTCCTAGACCAGTAGATGTTGACGTCTGCCCTCGTATAATTCAGACATGGCTGTGTATGAGCGTCTCCCATTTGACGATGAAAATGAAAATTCGTCTATCTTGCGTGAGAAGCAAACAGGAATGGAGTACTATTTTGAATAAAATTTTGCCGGACTACCGGCAGTCTTAAAGTACAAAATGGAGCTATACAGCCCTCCACATTTTCGGAATGGAGATAGATTGGGGTAGTTGACCCCTGGTTTCTGCTAGGATCTGTACGGGATTGCGGCTGCGGCGCGTTGTGATAGAGGGAGCGAGTATCTATGCTGGACAAGCATTTCATCCTAGATCCGTATATGCTGTGGGCCCAAGTATTCGGTTCAAAATCGCCAAAAGAGTGTAACCGCTCTGTGCTCGCTTCGGGCGCTAGAGACTTGCCAAGACGGAGCAGTTCGTTGTGATCCATGAAGCCCGAGCTCGTATATTCGAGGCGGAGGATAAACGCTCGCATTTTTGACCTTCTGCTTGTGCATGATCAGCATTTGGCGGCTTGGAGGTACTTCTACCCTATCCGAATAGGTTCGCGAGCCACTGGCCGGCGTAACGGGCGCACAGTAAAAATTATTCAACAACATTGATATGAGTCAAGGTTGCCAACAGCGCCCGCGATTTGGAATTTCCACAGCAGAAACGTAAATAAATGGAGAAAAGAAACGTCATATTCAGTTTCTTAATGTGCCAGGTGCAATCCGTAAACAAGAATTCTCTGGTTCAAAGCGAGAGACGCAAAATCCCACATCTCAAGCATGGTCAGTGTCCTAAGGACATAGAGTCCAAAAATTGCCACAACATGCTAGGTCCGGCTCACGGGACGGATGGAACGGTGATACACGAACATACCGTCTAGGAGCACCAGACCGTGACTCCGTTGGCATTATCCATGAAGTAGTATCATGTTGAACTTCCGCACCCCTCAGTAGAACCCAAGATCAAGAACCGGGTTTAAAAAAATTCTGGCCACATATTGTGGAGTTGGTTGGCACGGAGCCGAAACGTCAACAAGGGCAGTTCATCACCAAACCTTTGCCGACTTCCCAGGGGACCCGCTGTTAAATATAGCATACTCTTGGCGCCACTAGGGCCAGAAACTCTCGCTATGATGACGAGCATCTACAGAGTACTCCGTAGAGATTAAGCATAGCGGCCAAAGATTCTGCAGGGAGTGAGTGCCCAAGCCTGCCAACCTTATGCGAAACATTTATGCAAACCCTGTAGATTCAACCAATGCCGTTACCAAGTGGTCGATTCCGTTCAGATTCACCTGCTTCCCAACTAGACGGTTTTTCTAATGATGTTTTTGCTCAAACCTTCCAAGGTTGCGCATTTTCCCTCCAGCAGATGATGATCTGATATCCCAGCAAATCACTGAAAACCATGTTTTACCCCGCGATGGATTTCGCCATGCTCTTCTTCCTGGAAAGATTAGCTGATTGCTTGGCATGAGAGCCCCTCCTTTCTCTTCAGTTTCTCTACCTCTCTCTCTCTCCCATCTTGGGCATTTCTATCTTTGATTCTAACACATGAGGAAGTCACAGTAGCTGTTTTCTAACCATGATATTCCTCTGTGTGTGGGCCTATCCGACTTGATATCGTTGCGGAAGCTAGTAGCAAGGGCTGCCACGAGGACTCGCCATCCTGCACCGTCAAGAAGTGATTCCCTCCATAGTCCAAAACGAGGGCAAAGATGGCGAACCAATAATACAGGTCACAGCCGTGATTGAGAGCGCTTTCTCATGATGCAGATCCCAGTATATCCGCAAAGACGTGAATAACTGTTGATGACTTTTATGAAATATCCGGTGGAGGCTAGACCACTCACACGTTTAACCAGCTCCGCAGGGCCTAGCATTTAGTATGAAAGTTTCTCATTTTGAGAGGCCGTGGAGACACGGCAGCTTCCGAGTCGAATTATACGGAGTATATCATTGTATTCTGTAGGTGTTTATCCATGTTGACACGCAGCACTTTAACGTGTCCGGGATCGAAGATCACGGCCAGCCAGTGGCTTGGCACGAAATGCGGCAGGTGGCTTAGTGTCCAAGCCCTATCTCAATTTCCTTCTGAGCAATGCAGTCGATAAAGAACATGTGAGTTTTATACCTTGATCTGTTGACTTGCCCAACCCAGGAGCCTGTCGGGATTGCTAAAGAATACGGCATATATATGCTTAAAAGTTTGAGTTTAGCCATGTAAACTCCCTTGATATGTGACCCAAATATGCGTAATAAATGACCAAGGATACCCTAAATGAAAAGTCGGCCTCATTAGCGAAGAAAAATCTGACTGCAGTGGCTACGCTGCGTAAATCTGTGGGAATGTCTGTTTTGGCAACAATCTACACCCACGAAAATTGCTTTGGGGGCTTGATCCGCCTCCACGGCGACTTCAATGATCTGCGTTTTCAATTGTTGATATCCCACCGGGGGCTCCGAAGTTCTCCTTTGAGAAAGTTGTTGGCAAATATAGCAAATAACACGCGACCAGTTTTTCTTCTTCATATCGTCCTTCATCCGCCTTCCAATGTCTGATCATGTCCTTCGTTTGGTCGAGCCAGGCAATGGTGAACAATTAAATGAATCGTCGGAACATGGATCCGTTTCCTATTGCAGCTTCGGTAGACCATTCATTCTGCGAGCTTTCAGATTTGTTTCACTTCTTCTGCACTAGCGAACACCAGGAAAGGCGTCAGAGCGTCCTCCAGCCATGGCCCATTTGAGAATCCGGATAAAACCTCCTGCGCCAAACTTCCTCCGGTGAAACAGGCCAATAGCCCTGGTAATGTTATAGTTTCCTGTGTCTTTCGGCATCAACACTTGTGTTAGCCGCAAATTTATTTTCAAATGGCATAGTAGTGAACTATATCGCAAGGTCGTTTGGTGCCAAATATCTATTCAAACTCTGGAGTACACTCAGGGGCGAGGATATGTCGAGCATCAAAAGTAGATCGTGCTAAGAGAGGGGTTAGTTGTCACTTTTTCACTTTATCATGGCCACGAATAGATGGCGGTTTGTGTTTGATTTGATATCTTTGTTATTTGTCAGGGTAAAGGAAAAAGGGAATTCACATGAGCCCATCTCCGCAGCAAAAATCGCCTCCAAGCAACTAGCAAAGCGACTCTTGCATAAGAGGCGCATCTCTAAGCTGAATAAATAAAGCTAAATCAACATAGGCTCGAGCGTTTTAGCGTCTCAAAATCATCTGACGGATTTCAGTACAGTGGATTCGAAATTTTCTGAAACGAAATGCCGACGTTACAAGCCGAGGGGTGTTTCGAGAACCTTGGAACTGTAGGCGAGCAAATAGTAGGCAGGCTGAGGGAGCCAAATCCACGTGACTAGTTCTCGTTTCCATTTCCTGAGGAGTGGCGGACTTTGGTGCAGTTCACCTCTTATCGATCAAGCAAATTGGTCGAGTGGGCATATATGAATCCACTTCCTATACTAGAACCATCATGGTGAGGCTCGACCTTTGAGAGGCTTTTTCTCTCTTGGAGTCCGTTAGCCAGAGAAATAAGGATATATGAAACCTGTATGTCTGTATGTCATTTTAACTCTTGTTCTAAGTCAATTCCAATAGCAATACGCCGCGTTATATTTCTGAAAGCACGAGGGGTGTTCGTGTTTAGACTCCTAATGGTGCCTTGTGCTACCACATATCATCAGGATACAGCTGCAGGGGATATAATCCGTTGCGATCATTGAGCGTGATAGAACAGGAAGAACAGAGGAGTTTCCATAAATCGTAGTGATTGTAATATGGTGTGAGGTGAATATCTCCTATCATACCAATCCCACATCGGGATCAATGAAGGATGGCCGCCGCAATATCTGTTTGGGTTCTTTTGAAAATAGATTCGGATTGGCTAGGATGCTCAGGGCTAACGGAAGAGGTAGGTTGCAACACGGTTCTCTAGCTCGAGAGATTCCTAGCGAAGACAAATATCCCTATCCGTTCAATCTGTTCGGGCCGAAATTTCAAGCAAGCAATCGGAAAGGTGTCGCCCATAGCTCCAACATATAGCGAGGAGAGCAGGATGAGTGAGGGTTCAGACGCAGATAGCAATTGAGTTTTATATCAATTTTTCCTCTCAACGAGATGGGCCGTCAAACAACTCTCAATGTCCGGGAATGGCCGTCATCGCTCGCTACACAGAGAGTGCAGTTTGGAAGTAAGAGTAAACAGTTCTCAAGATAATGTATGTCCACCATGCCAATCACCTAGAGGCAAGGGTATCTCAATCAACAAGTTGTCCAGGGCGTTGGGTAGCGCGGAAGAGAAAGCATTCCGTTTGCGGGGTTTAATATAGGAGGAGCTTTGCTTTGCAAAGAAGCCAAACCTCCAATATCTCTGTTCCCTTTTCTTTGCTAGTCGTGGCGCTTCTAACTCACTACTTGCTATCACCTAGTGAACTTCTTAGGCAGCCATTGCCAAATCAATCTCCTCATTTTTGCTGGCTTTCGGCGATGGAGCGACTTGAACAAGTTGAAATCAGAAGTTGATTCTATTGGTCGAACCCGAAATCTAATATATCACATGACCCGAACCTCCCTATCGTCGCTGATTGGCTAGTTAGCCTCTCAAGGCTTAGATATTTTTGGAACCTGAAGTCATGACTTCCATACATACACATTGGCCTCTGACCAGGGATAATCGTCTGACCCTTACCAAGTCACAACTTTCTTCCAATCAAATATGCCCTGGAACTAATTAACTTCTCTGCGTTACAAGGGAAGGTTTTGTTTGAAACCGGTCAGTTGATCCTCAGCACATGCAGGAAATTTCGCTTGAGGGCAAAATGGATTCAACTTCCAACATTGCGATAGGACTGTGGGCTACAGATGATATGATGATCACATTAACTCGTTTGAAGCATACCTTGCCGCTGTCATGGGAATCGTTGGAGGCGCGCCACCCAGGCTCATGGTTCCCGCTAGATCCCGTTTCCCTTAACCGTACTTGCACAGTTGACCGACGCTTAAAATGGGGGAGGCCCGCTTGCTACGTGTTTGATATGAAAAAAAGCCTTCTATATCTTACCAACGTTGGGGAACTGTCATTGAAACTACGTCCCATTTTCCCCATACATACCCCACATCCTCAGCCGTTTACTACTACATAACCGAGGAAATCTAAACACAATCTAAACATAAGAACGACTGGTTTTCTCCATCTCTTCTTACCTTTGCCCTTGTGTCGTTTACCAGGAAGCAAACCCAAAATGGATGAACGTATCTCCATACCAGTTTCACTGCCCCATCCAAACCCTACAGTCTCATACTGGCAGAACCCGCCAGATGAGATCGGGGATATATGCTCAACCGTGAAGCTTCCTGCGGAGGCTGATATTGCGATAGTCGGATCAGGAATATCTGGTGCGGCCATTGCATACAATATACTATGTCGAGCTCCAGGGACGAAGATTGTTATGCTTGAGGCGAGGCAGGCTGCTAGCGGAGCGTCGGGGCGAAATGGTACTCATTCCTTCTTTACTTTTACTTTTATTTTTATTTTTATTTTGTATTTTTATTATTCTACAAATGAGATATATGTATCTATTCCTCTTTTCCCTGATTTCTAATGTGTCCCGTCCGGCGACTTGCATGCAATGTCCACGGAAAGCCCCTTAATTTTCTATGAACAATCTAGCTAATTAAACGCATACCATACTGCGAAATCGGATATTAGGCGGCCACACCAAGGGGGCTTCTTATACGACCTTTCCAACAAACGTGGAAAAACTAGGTCTCGACGAAGCCATCAAAATCGCGAAACTTGAACTCAACACTGTTCGTCAGGTGCACGACTTTGCACGGAAACACAACATCCAGTGCGAGAGCAAGCACATCGACACAACGGACGTGATATACGACCAAGAAACATTAGAACAAGCAGCTACAACAGTCAAATTCATGCAGAAGATCATGAAAAATCACCCTGCAAGCAAATATACGTTCTGGAACAGGAAGGAAACGGAGGAGAAGTTCCTAGTCCCGGGGGCTGCCGGAGCCATTACGTACGAAGCCGGCAGTCTCAGCGCATATAAGTTTGTCATAGGACTTCTCAAGTTATGTCTAAAGAAGGGCCTAAACCTTCAAACGAATACCCCTGTTACCAGTTTGCACAGGCAAGAAAGTAGCACTAGTAAGGACAATGGCCACGGCAAAGTGAAGCACTGGACTGTCGTAACTCTTCGCGGCAACATTCAAGCAACGAAAGTCATCATGGCGACGAACGGCTACTCAGCGGCCCTCTACCCAAAGCTTCAAGGCGTCATAGTCCCCGTCCGCGGTCAGGTGACAGCACACAGGCCTGGATCGGCAATGCCAGCCTCCGGCCTCTCCACCACCTACTCCTTCAACTACGGCAGCGGATTTGACTACATGATCCAATGTCCCGACGCATCGAAGTATCCCCGCGACATCGTCATCGGTGGCGGGTTCTGTGAAAGTGAGAATGGCGGCCTGGCCAATTATGGAACTACGGATGACTCTGTGCTCGAGCCGGCGATTAGTGAGTATCTTGCCGCATCGACGGTGGAGTTCTTCGGGAAGAATTGGGGCCGTGATGATCCTGCCGGCCGCGTGCGACATGAATGGACTGGCATTATGGGGTATAGTGCTGATGGGCATCCGTTGGTTGGAGAGATTCCGGGGGAACCTGGGTTGTTTATCTCGGCATCCTTTCAGGGGCATGGTGAGTTAGCACCCACCCACACCCAAGCATAATTTTTCAAAACCTCCAAATCGTTCTACGTTTTACACATATATCTATATATAGATGTATTTGTGGCTCTCTAAACCTGACTGATATTTATTTATTTCAAAACCCTAGGAATGGTCCTCTGTTTCCTCTGCGCTCAGGCAGTCACAAGCATGCTATTTGGCGATGACGAAAAGACCCTATACAGCTGGTTCCCGCGCACGTACAAGGTAAACGCAGACCGGCTAAAGCGCAGGCTCGATCGGAGAATCACCCCGCCTCCAAAGGCTCAATCCAAGGCGCGTCTGTAATCTATATCTGGCACAGCACAGGCCGCATTTGCTCATATTTCCTTTTTCCCACATAAGAACGTAGGCGAAGTGGCATTTCCAATTCATTTCGATGACAACTGTTTTGGTAGGATGGAATTCGGAATACAGGTAGCGTATGTGATTCATACACAGCCGGGAACATGGGCAACTATCGGAGTCCTTGTCAAATCTGAGGATGTTGGTCCATAGTAGAACTAGCGAATGCAAATAGAATGCCAATCAGATGTTATTTTTTATTTTATTTTTTGGTCCCAAATGTTCCCACGCGTATAGAAGTTAACTATTAGCATACCATGAAGCCTCTTGGAGATTTGCAGGCTCAGATAGTGTGTTACTGAACTAGTTACACCCCAGGAACGAGTAGTACGTTACTTCACATATTGGTGGCTGGCATGTAATAACTAGCAGTAGACATCACCTCATATCTTAAATCCAAGCGGTAAAACAGGTAGAAAATAGTAATATGGAGGAAGACACGTTTTGAGACGATGAAGCATATAAAAGGAGGAGGAAGGGCACACAAAAACAACACCGATATAGCTCATACAACAGTATATGGTTGAAAAAATCACGTAGATGAAACATATTAGAAATGAGAAGCCCGGTAGTCACTAGTCACTACCGGAACGAAAGCGAAAGGAAACGAACCGTGAGCAGAACAGGAGACCAGATGCAATAAAATTTCCGCCACGGCAAGAAAAAAGAGGATATCAAACAGAGGAAGAAGGGGAAAAGGAGGGAGGAGAAGAAGAAGAAGAGAAAAAGGAAATAATGAACACGAAGAAAAAATGACAGGTATCCAATTCTATGACCCTCCAGCACCAGAAGTACCAATCATGCCCACAAAGGGGAGGCTTTTCATACATATTGATTTTGTTTTTTAAACAACAAAAAGGTAAGAAGCGAGCATTGGAGCTAAAAACATTTCGAAGGCTTAATTAAAAAGAAAAATTGTCCTTCTGAAATATGAATAAACCGTTCGTCATTTGCTATATTCCTTTGACCCCATTTCTATAGGTTGAATTGGGAAAGAAGAAGAGGATGAAGAGGAAGAGAAATGGCAAGGCACAGGACAATTATCATGACTCTTTAGTATCAACTTTTTTGGCAGGAGGAGCGCCAGCCTCAGCACTGGGGCCGGCAGTGCCATTGGAAGCAGAAGAGCCATTGGCGGCAGCAGCATTGCCGTCATCTTCCCGCGCACGTTTTTGTCCTGCCTTGGCTGTTGAGTCTGTCGCAGCTGGTACCTGGATTACGGGGACACCACTATGAAAGCGAAAAAAAAAAGAAAAAGCAAGGGGAGTAGGGTTAGCTATGCACGATCTTAAAAGAAAAAAGGAAAATAAAATAAAATGAAAAAAAAAAAAAAAAAAAAAAACCTCGAGAATAGGATTTTTGTGAATGATAAGGAACAATGGAGATTCGGAAGGGAAAAAGAAAAAGAAAGAAAAAGAAAGAAAACATACCGAGAATCCTTTTGAGCCTCTTGACGACCACCTCTGCCGCCTCTGTGACCACGTCCACCTCGACCGCCCCTAAAGCCCTTTCCATGATCATCTCCCCGACGATCGTGATGGTTCGACGACCCCCCACGGCCCCGCCCTCTATGACCACCTCTGCCCCGGCCGCTATTGGGCCGCAGACGACCAGCTTCAATTTCCTTAATCTTCTCATCGCAATAATCTCTCTTGCTCTTGATCAGGAGCTCAGTGGTACCCTTCCACTTCGGCTTGGGGTCGAGGGCCAGGAACGCCTTTTGCGTCTCCTCACTGTCAAATTCAACGAACACACTTCCCTTGAAGATCTTATCAGCCGTCCGTCTCAGGCGGATGGCATTGGTGGGGCCGTATGGCGTGAAGAAGGCCTCGATGTCGAATTGTGTGCTAGGTTCTTCAGGGCCGAATCCCTTCGCGTAAATGCTGCGATCCATCGCTTTATCTTCAAACAGCTTGACAACGGTGGGATCTAGCGATTCCTTGACGGTTTCGGGAAGGGCCACCTTACGCCTGACGCAGGTATTGTCGTCGGTCAGCTCGAGTGTCTTGGAGTCCTTTAGCGCATCGACAACGGCGCTGAATGGCTGGAAGCGACGCATGCGCTTGAAGGAGTGCAGGAGGGACAGTTCGACGGGGCGATTTTCGCTGCCGCCAACCTTGGAGAGGAGGAATTTATCCATGAGAAGGTTCGAGTCAGAGAAGTAGAATTCGACCTATGAGGAAGCAAAAGGGTTAGAAAGATAAATGATCTGTGACTTCGCTTTTTTTAAAGCCGCCGGATCACACAGAATATTGGACGAGGGCTGACCTGTTTACGGATCTCGTCCGGGTCGCTTGTCTCCTTCAGCGTCGAAACATCTGATTTGATGTTGTCACGGTGGTTTACGCGGGGGCGATGGGCACCACGGCCACCTCGCGACGCCTGTCCTTGGCCCCTGTTTGTATCCTTTTGCTCACCGTCCTTAGAGTCGCTCTTTGATTCAGCATCCTGGCCCAGCTTTGCGGCAGCTGCAATGATCCTAGCTTCTTCTTTGGCCTCCGCATCCTCCTCCCCAGCACCATCCGTGTTCCCTTCTGAAGCCTTGCCGTTTGTATCTGGTTTTGCATCTGTTTTCTTACTGCTTTCTTGGGCAGCACTTTGAGCATCCTGTTTTGCTGGCTCTTGTTCCTTGAGCTCCACAAGCACCTGCTTTACATCGTTTTCAGCCTGTGCGTTGGGGTTTACTTCTGCGGGCGCAGCAGCTTGTTGCTGTTCCTCCGTCATTTTTTTTTTATGTGATATGAAGTATTATCTTGGTAAAGGAGACGTAGATTTAAGAGGGAGATGGAGAGAGGGAGAGACGCAAATGGACACAGGTAGGCACGCGGTCCTGATCCTAGCGGGGAAGATCCTGCGTGCTCTGCTATTCCCGAGTGGCCGGTAATACCAATGAAAATTTGTGATAGAGCGATGGCAGACTTAGATCATTTGATATAGCAAGGGGCCAGAAGGTATGGTGTTATGGGAATTCCCTGTGTGCAATCGGGCGACAAAAGCAGGGTGTATCTATAGGTACAGGGGCGGGGAAATTCGCACGCGCGGGCGGGCTGGCGGTTTATGGATAAGGATCGCGGGAGTAACTGCACAGAAAGATCCGAAGACAAGTTGTTATCTAGATCGACTTAATTGTCGAGATAGATATCTATATGGGGAAGCGGTATAAATTTTCTAGAAGAAACTGGAGAAAATGTTGAATAATTGCGTTGTTGGAGAGGGGGATATTTTTTCTTGGAGACTCTCAGTTGCCGTATTTTTTTTTCTTTTTCTTTTTCTTATTTTTTTCTTCGGCTGGTTTCCAAGCTTAGAAGTTAGCACACAGGAAGGAATGGGGCATTGTTGTTCCGCGCCGGGAAAGTCAGCGCGGAGTCACAGCAAGAAGTCAGCATTTGCTATACATTCTGATATCTAACTACTCCACACAAATATGTATGTATGCACTTTACATATATAACTGCCTGATTCAAATGGCAAGATTAATTAGCACAGAGATAAGGCACTATGTTCCTGAGTTTGGTGGTGAGGAAGCCTCGAGTATTATTAGTACTTCCTCCTTGAACATAACCCCCTAAATAGCATACATAATATCTCCCCACTCACCACTCAACCACCACAGGCAGCTCATATTCGGCGATCACTAACTCTGATTTATTTTCTCCCCGTTTTCTATCGGCAGCAATTCTGGTTGCAGGCAGTACGGATTACGGGGAATCTCTCTCCCCAATTCGGCGGCAATGCTTCCACTGGCCGGCTGCAGCTGCTTGGACTGGCGGTTCCTTGCGCCTGCTGCAACAAATCGCATCGCCCAAGACGTTCCACTGCTTGGAAGTCTTGTCGATGCGGCGGAGACCAGTTCATTTCAGTTCATTCCTTCTGTCCTCCTCTAACATACCTCAGGCATCAACTACTAAACCTTTACTATATTTGCTGTTTTATCTCTTTACATCAAGTTCTTTGTGTGTTCTTGCTCCAGTCGACCGGGTGTGTGTGTGCGTGTGGGTTGTTTTGACTGGATGACATGGTCTCTTTGTTGTCCCTGACTCGCTATATTCACATTCCAACTAGCCCAGTAGCAACCCTCGCCAACCATTTGCTACATTCAGGAACACATACAAGTCATGTCCTTGTCGTGGACGGAGAGCTTGAATTATACATATAACCATATCTGTTAATTTCTTCTCCAACATTAACCTGCATCCGTGGTGATAAACTGGGACATTCCGGCTCCCTGCAGGCTGCGCCAGAATTACCACTGCGGCTACAGATATCAGTTCAACTTCCCGGTTGCAGTTTTTTATGCCAATGACTGATTGTCAGTGATTGAACGTGATTAGCTCGATCTGCCGGGCTGATCGGTGGCGGGTGCCACCGTCGTTCTCGGTGTGTTCCTAAGCTCATCTCATGTTTCACGTCTTGTCAACTGCATATCTGCTCCCCTTTGAAGCTGCTACGATATTCGCGAGTTTCAAGCACCGGCTTAAACATGGCCCACGACAATGGGGATGATATACCATCATGGGCAGTCCAGGATGTGAGTCTTTCTGATAAGCTTCTATACTAAAATAATATATATATATATATATATCCGACTGCTGATCTTTGATTTTGTTTGTTGAAGATCGTCTATGTATCCGTATTGGGGCCTTTCATCGTGGCGGCTTTCCTCGAGTGGTTTCTATGGCTAGCAGCTTTCCTATACTGCCTAGGAAAAGTGTTTGTAAAAGCGGATCATTGGAGTATAAAAGTCCTCGCTGTTATCATGATGTTGATGTTCACGGGATTTCGGTACGTGCTCCTGTCTGCGGTTCTCATTTCTGGGCTGTCCACCCCTCTCCTTGCTAATCATGTTTTCCCTCATAGTGGCGCATTTCTCCCGGTCATGGTCGTTACTCTACCCCTCCCGCCAAATATCACACGGCATTTCCCTGTTCAGGTCGTGTCCTTTCTGCAATGGTTTGCATTCTGGACCTTTGCCATTCTACTCATCATTCCGTGGTTATTCTGCATCTACAGATTAGTGACAAACTCCGTCGGACGGACAAAACGAATCAAGGAGGTTCTTGATGAGCGTACTGCTCCTAAAACTGTCATCGTGATGCCTGTGTACAAGGAGGCGCCTGACATATTAATAAAAGCCGTCGACTCGGTGGTTGACTGCGATTATCCGCCGTCGTGCATCCATGTTTTCCTCTCCTATGACGGCGGTCAAGTCGATGAATCATATCTGACAGTTGCTGCCCATCTCGGGGTGCCTATCACCCTCAAATGTTATCCGGAGAGCATTGATGTCTCATACAAAGGTGCTAGAATCACTATATCGCGGTTCAAGCATGGAGGGAAAAGGCACTGCCAAAAGCTGACGTTCAAACTGATTGACAAGATTTACGCGAAGTACCTCCAGAGAAATGACAACCTCTTCGTGCTATTTATTGATTCGGATTGCATTCTTGATCGGGTTTGTCTTCAAAATTTCATGTACGACATGGAATTAAAACCAGGAAGTAAACGGAATATGCTTGCCATGACCGGCGTTATTACCTCAACCACGCAAAAGAACACCTTGATTACTCTCCTTCAGGATCTAGAGTATATACATGGACAGCTATTCGAGCGATCTGTTGAATCTGGATGCGGATCTGTCACCTGCCTCCCAGGCGCACTTACGATCCTTCGATTTTCAGCCTTCCGTAAAATGGCTAAATATTATTTCGCAGACAAGGCAGAGCAGTGCGAGGACTTGTTCGATTTTGGCAAATGTCACCTTGGCGAAGACCGTTGGCTCACTCATCTCTTTATGATTGGAGCCAAGGAGCGATATCAAATTCAGATGTGCACGAGCGCGTTCTGCAAAACGGAGGCCGTCCAGACCTTCCGCGGTTTACTGAAACAGCGAAGACGGTGGTTCCTCGGGTTTATCACGAATGAGGTGTGCATGCTTACTGACATTCGTTTGTGGTATCGATATCCCATGTTATGCCTTGTACGGTTTATGCAAAATACCATCCGCACAACCGCTCTTCTCTTTTTCATCATGGTCATATCGGTCATAACTACGTCCAATAAAGTGGAAAATTTGCCTGTGGGGTTCATCGCAGTATCCCTTGGTTTAAACTACTTGCTCATGCTTTATTTTGGCGCGAAGCTTCGACGGTATAAAGCATGGCTTTACCCCCTGATGTTCATTCTGAATCCTTTCTTTAACTGGCTTTATATGGTCTATGGGATTTTTACTGCTGGTCAACGGACATGGGGTGGCCCTAGGGCTGACGCGGCTGCAGCAGATGAAAACACTACGCCGGAGGAAGCTGCTGTCAGGGCTAAAGCTACAGGCGACGAACTAAATATTAAACTGGATACTTTCCGGGCCGTGGCCGAAGGGAAATCCTCAGTCCCCATCCATCCAGCGGAAGGTGTAGAGGGCCGATTCGCAGCACCGGATCTACAGCCAAATGGGTACTACTACACTGAGAACGACGATACGTCCACGATGACCTTTCCAGAGTTCTTGCCCCGCAACCCAGCCGTCTCCCCACTACCCTTACACCCTCGGGTATCCTTTGACTCGGACTGGACAAACGGATCTAATTCCATGATACATCTACCACGCACAATAGAGAGTATTATGGGAGATGAGGACCAGAGGAAAGTGCATTTGGCACGCCGGTCAAGGGCATGCTCTAGCATTGGAGTAGAGGTGGGGGAGTTCGACGACGGCATCGACTCATCGTGGGGGGTGGAATCGATGTCCGACAGCGGGGGGCGATCTATATCTAGAGGGAAGAGTCCTGCGCGCTCGTCTACCCGGTCCGAAAGGATATCCAGCTCCGCGACAGGCGCATTCGTCTATGATGGGGCTAACAATGGAGGGGGCGGGAGCTGGGTCCCGCCGGATACGGGGGTGTTTGAGCCGACGCGGAGTCGTCGGGCGGGGCGGAGTCCGCTGGGGAGGAATAGTCCCGTGCGAGCCGTTGAGGTTGACGGAATGGATGACTCACCTTCACCTTCACTTTCACCTTCGCCGGAACGAGCTGGGGGAGCTGAAGGAGCTGTAGCGGGAGCAGGGGCTGGGAGTGTCCATCATCAAGATAATACCCAGGATGAAAAAGGGGTAGAGCAAGCTGAGTCTTCTGCAACAAAGTCGAGGCGGAAGCAATCACGGTTAGTGAAGAGGTCGCGGGATCCAGGGGATATAGTTTGAGACCCTTGAAGAGGTCCGGGGTTCATATTTCGCGGGTTGCATTGGTTGTTGTTGTTGTTGTTAATTTTGGTTGCTTCTATTGGTATTTTCCTTTTTTCTATTTTGTTTTCATTATCCCGGCCTCCCACGTCGTTTTATTTTCATTCTCTTGGTTTTTGTCTTAGCATTTGTATGTACTGTAAACAGGGCGCATTAGAGCGATAGATAAAAGCGGGATATTTGTGCCTCGATCATTGGGTATAGATTCATTATTGGGCAGTCAAGGCCGTGAGCAAATAAATCCAACAAATGATTGTCATTATGATTGGGCTGGGCCCAACCCTTCTTCCCCGTCAGAGAAGTTGTGTCTGTTATCTGTATGGTATATTATTATTACCCGGCTGTTGACAGCCCGACTGCTGGTCCTGTTTGTCCTTGTTGGTTCCCTCGCCCTTTGTTAGGTAGGTAGGGGATTTCTTCTTACCTGTGGAAAAGCGAAGAAAAACACCGAAGCGCACCGAAGGGCAACGAAGGTCGCCCACGTGATGCCAAGTGGAATGTGACGACAAAGACGCGGCAGCAGGGCAACAGGTACCGGTACATCAGCGGGTTCTTGGGGAGAGGAGAGGAGGAGGGGCAAGTGATGGTTCCATCCATAACAACACCAGAATCTATGAGTAAAATGAATAAATAAATAAAAATAAAAATTTAGGAAGATCAAGAGGAATTGAGTGATCTTTAAAAAAAATTATTTAATTATTTTTTAGGTGGAGTTTGTATCTATGTATCTTGATCTTTGTTTAGTTAACAATAATAATGGATGACATAAATACAGTCTGCAGGTACCGCTACCTGGTTCAACGAAGAAAAAATCTCCTCTATAACTTACTCTGCTCTGCAGTCAACAACAACCCATAGCATTTACAATCAATCAATCAATCAATCAATCAATCAATCAATCAATCCATCCATTATTCAATCAACTACCTAGATACACTTGCAAAGAAGAGGTACGGTACGTACAGTCCATTCCCACCGCTCCTCAATACAAGCTAACAGCCAACGAATAACCAAGACGCTGCCCGAATATTCCATTTGTTTCCGCACCCAACGAAACTGGGAGCGCTCCATAATTTATTTCCAAAAAAATTTAAAATAAAAAAGCCTGCCAAAATCCCACCTGAACATCTCCCTGGCGCTAAAGTACAAAGCCAAAAAAAGATCAAAAATTCAAAAAAAAAGGACAACAAGAAAACTCGCCCCTCCTTTTTTTTTTTTTCCCCAACCCAAAGCTTCATTGTTATCCGCCCCCCACCACCACCCACCGCCGTCCGTCTCTCGCTCCCCCCGGAACATAAACGTAGAACGGGACAAAAAGATAAAATATTACATCAATCAAGACCTTGCCTGGTCTATCTTAACCTCTACTCACTCACTCCTATACCAACCACGCCACATAAACGCCGGGAAAGCCAGGCTTTGGGAATCGAGAACGAACGAAATTTTCGAATTTTTTTTTCTTTTTCCTTTCTTTTTCCTTTCTTTTTTCTTTTTTTCTTTCTTTTTTTTCCCCAATCCCTGTCTCCCCGCCGCCGTCACGAATTCTTCCACCTTCTTGTTTTTTTCTATTTACTTTTTTAGAGAAAGATTTCTTTGTGCTTTTCCCTTGTTTTAACAAAATAAAAGTGAGCAGCATATCGTCACCATGAGCGTTGTTGGCATAGATTTCGGTTCGCAGTCGACGAAGGTTGGCGTTGCTAGGAATAAGGGTATTGATATTGTGCGTATACACTTTTTCCTTCTTTGCTCTATGTTGTCTTTTTTTTATTTTTTTTACTTTTTTTATTTTAATATCTTTTTGATATTCACTTTCTCACCCTTCTTATCTCATGCTTTTTGTTTTTATTTGAGCTCTTTGGTGTCTTGTTGTCTTTCGTTGAGGAGATGTGGTGATGTGATGTGATGATATGATGTTTCTGTTTCTTTTTTTTTTTTTTTTTTTTTTTTTTATTGCTCCGATCGTTTATATTTTTTATACACTCTACTTTGGGTTCATCTCTCACTGACGAAGTGTCCTCGTTTGAGGAATGGATAATTAGATCACGAATGAAGTCTCCAATCGGTCTACACCGTAAGTTCCACATCGAAAACCCCCGCCAACCCTCAAATTCCTGACGTGGGATATCGTATATATTTACATATATATCCTGACCCTCCAACGCACGCATCTACATATAAACGAGGAAGGATATGCGCTAACAAGCTATCTTCATCTCTACAGATCCCTAGTTGGATTCGGCCCCAAGAGCAGATACATCGGTGAGACCGCCAAGACGCAGGAGATCTCTAATCTCAAAAACACCGTCGGCAGCCTGAGGCGTCTCGCCGGTCGTTCTTTCAAGGATCCCGATGTCCAGATCGAGCAAGACTACAATACTGCCACCCTGGTCGATATCAATGGCGAGGCTGGTGCTGAGGTGTCGTACCTGGGCAAGAAGGAACAGTTCACTGCTACCCAGCTGGTGGCTATGTTCCTGACCAAAATTAAAACCACCGCCACCGCCGAACTCAAGCTCCCCGTCGCAGATGTTGTGCTCAGCGTGCCTCCCTGGTTCACTGATGCCCAGCGCCGGGCCCTGCTCGATGCTAGTGAAATTGCCGGCTTGACATGCCTTCGCCTCATAAATGACTCCACTGCCATTGCCCTGGGTTGGGGTATCACGAAATTAGACCTGCCAACCGCGGAGGAGAAACCCAGACGGGTTGTCTTTGTTGATATTGGACATAGCGACTACACCTGCTCTGTCGTCGAGTTCCGCAAGGGAGAACTGAACGTCAAGGCCACCACATATGACCGCCATTTCGGAGGCCGCAACTTCGATAAAGCCCTGGTTGACCATTTCGCCAAGGAATTTAAAGAGAAGTTCAAGATTGATATCACCACTAACCCGAAAGCGTGGACCCGGATTCTGGCGGCTGCAGAGAAACTAAAGAAGATCCTGTCAGCCAATGCTGCTGCGCCCTTGAGTGTTGAGTCTGTGATGGACGATGTCGATGTCCGCAGCTTCGTCAAGCGCGAAGAACTAGAAGCGATGATCGAGCCCCTTTTGGACCGTGTAACCGTACCCCTAGAGCAGGCCCTTGCCGAGGCGAAGCTGAAACCAGAAGATATCGACACCATCGAGATGGTAGGCGGCTGCACGCGTGTGCCCATCATCAAGGAGAAGATCAGCAATTTCTTCGGCAAACCTCTCTCCTTCACGCTCAACCAGGATGAAGCCGTCGCCCGCGGTTGTGCATTCAGTTGTGCCATTCTCTCTCCAGTATTCCGCGTCCGCGACTTCGCCGTCCACGACATCGTAAACTACCCCATCGAGTTCACTTGGGAGCCCGCCCCTGAAATCCCCGACGAGGCCACCTCCTTGACCGTATTCAACAAGGGCAACGTGATGCCATCGACCAAGATTCTCACTTTCTATCGCAAGCAACCGTTTGATATTGAGGCTCGATATGCTAAGCCTGAAGGCCTGCCTGGCAAGGCCAACCCATGGATTGGCCGTTTCTCCATCAAGGGCGTGACACCAGGTCCCGATGGTGATTTTGCTACCTGCAAATTGAGGGCTAGACTCAACCTGCACGGTATCCTCAACATTGAATCTGGATATTACGTGGAAGATGTGGAAGTTGAAGAACCCATTCCAGAGAAAGAAGGCGAAGTAAGTCTTGAAAACATTTTCCTTCCCCCCTGCCCCCTCCCCCCCTTTCCCTAAAAAATAAGTTATCCTTTGTCGAGATGTTTGTTTTTTTAACGAAAAGGCATGGACAAAACTCATCAACCGACGGAAAGAAGAACGTGTTTTCTAACATGAGAAAACTCTGGAAACAGGCCATGGATACGGATGCGCCCAACGGGGAGGCCGGGGAGGCCAAACCGAAGATGCGCAAGGTCAAGAAGCAGGTGCGGAAGGGTGACCTGCCCGTCGCGTCCGGTACTGCGGGTCTCGACGCGGCCACTAGGCAGCTCCTAGGCGAAAAGGAGAATGCCATGTTCATGGAAGACAAGCTTGTTGCCGATACCGAGGACAAGAAGAATGAGCTTGAGTCGCATATCTATGAGCTGCGGGATAAGATCGAGACTGTCTACTCTGAATTTGCCAATGAGGATGAGAAGGCGAAGCTGAAGGCGAAGCTTGATGAGACAGAGGTATGTTTCTTTAAATCGGCCCCCCTCCCCCTCCCCCTCCCCCCCTAAAAACATACTATCTTTGTCCCAATCCATACATAAACTCTAACCGGGAATCCCCTACTAACGCACAAACTTTCCTGACAGGACTGGCTCTACGAGGACGGCGAAGACACCACCAAGGCCGTCTACATCGCTAAAATGGACGATATTCGCTTTATCGCCGGCCCCATCATCCAGCGCTACGCAGATAAAATAGAAGCTGAGCGCATGGCCGTCCTGAAGGCGCAGGAGGAGGCGGCTGCGAAGAAGCGCGCGGAGGAGGCGGCCACCAAGAAGAATGGGGCATCTGATACGGAGATGAAGGATGCGGATTCTCCGTCTAGTGAGGAGAAAGCTGGCGATGAGCCTATGCCGGAAGTCGAGGAGACTTCTTAGGTCTTTTTTATGATTTTCATATGTTTTCTTGTGAAGCTTGTCGTCTCTCATGTTTGTGTTGTATGCGCTGGTTCTTCTTTTTTCGTTTTGCCCCCTCTTCTTTATTTAGAATAAATAATGTGAAAACCTATTTTCTTCTCTCTTTCCTTTTCTTCTCTCTTTTCTTTTTTTCTTTTCTTTTCTTTTCTTTTCTTTTCTTTTTTTTTTTTGTTCATTCTTACTTGTCTATAAGTATTAAACAGAGGAGTGAGTGATGTTGGAAAGAAAAAAAAAAGCGGGAGAACGATGAAATGTGGATAATGATGACGATGATGCTTGGTTTTCTCCTTGCTCAGGTTTTCTACATGAAAGACAAAAAGAATTCATCTCATTTTGCCCTTTGATCTCCTACATACATCTTATGTAAAGACATTCTCCATAGCATGGTATAGCGCTAGAAGCAAAGGTTCAATGTTGTGGTTTTTAGCAAGGGTCAACATGCCACTCATCCAAGATACAAACAACACACCGACAGTAACTATAGATTTGATTCATCTCTCGCCTTGTGTAGTTACTTTTCCTAGCTCGCGATTTATCGTTTATCAAAATGAATATCCAGGCATTTTCAAAAATTGCTAAGGAGCCATTAAAGGGCCTGTTCGGTGCGTCCGTGTGTACTCGTTCTTTTTGTACGGATCTCCACTTTTTTTAAAAAGTACAGCCCCAATATCATGACTGTTCAGTGGGCAGAGTGTCTGTACTAATAGTATAGCTGCTTTTTACAAAGTACAGATGAAAAAGGCCAGGTGTTTGGTGGATTGAGTGGCTGTACTTGCATCTTTTGTCAAGATCTTATGAATAAGCTATATTTAACTTCAACAGCGTGTGATGGTGTAGAATAGCACTTTTAGAGATAATATAGTGTAGAATAGCATTCATAGTGAAGACAGTTAACTAATATTAGTTAGAAAGAAGCTTACAAAAATGTGTTCTTTTTGAATGGACTCTGGACTCCATTCAAAAAGAACACATTTTGTAAGCTCCTTCTTTCTCCATTCTACAGAAGAATATTGTCAGCAAAGATCATCAAGATGGCGCAACGCCGGCTTGCTACTAAATAATTGATAAATACACTATTTTTAATGAGATCCACTATTGCGTTCAAAAAGTACGGACGCACTGAACAGGCCCTAACTACACCTAATGAATTAAACTTAAAAAAAAAACAATTCTCACAGAATATAAAATCCCCAAACTTCAGTGTCTACCACATACGACCATAGGGAGTGGAAAGCAGGGCTTCCCGTCCGCTCAGCTACTTAAATAAGCCACTTAGATCTGCGCGGCCAATATTCATACTTGGCCCTGAAGCCCGCTGCTTTATGGGTGAGGAACCGGTGAGTAGGGGGTGTGCAGGGTGAGGAGCAGGTGTGCAGGGCGTTAATAATAAAAGCCATGCTACTAGAGAGCCAACAAGTAATAAATGTCAGAAAGGAGCCATGTTGATTCTATTCTTGTTGATTGTTTCAGCAGAAATGTTGTGATAGTTTAACTCAGCAAGCTCAGACGCTTCTCCAGATATTCATTGCTGTTTTAACACTGGATTGATGATTATGTCATGAGCTAACCTCAAATAAGCAATAAGCTAACCCAAATAGTAAAATCAGGTCATGTGAGTGATGATATCTTACAAAGTTAGCAACATAGAAAGAATTTACTCAGTACTCTGAGTATGAAAGAGAATTTCAACTCAACTTCATAGATTCATTATTTCTGTATTATCTTGAAATCTTAGAATAACAATGTTCTCATGATATATCTGATTTTTATATTCATATCTCAAGTTCTTAAAATAGAAGTATCATCTCAAAGTTGACTAGTGTGTTTTTAAATACAGAAATTTTGATCTAATTTCTCATACAAAAAAAAGCTCTTAGAAATTCTGAGATCAAAAAATATGATTATTTTCAAGAGTATATATCTATCTTAAATATAGATTTTTTTAAAATATTAAAGAAATATTTCTATTCTTCTTCTCTTTAGCTATAAGCTAAGGTGATTTTTAAATCTCAAAGATATATAAATATATAATAATAGAAAGTCAAAGTTGAAGAATCTGAAAAATTCTTGTAAATCTCAGAAATCTTCATTGAAGATGAAATCATTTCTTCTCAGACTCTCTGATAAGAATTGCTCTGAGTACATGACTTGTGAAAGATGTAAAGCTTGTGTGATTGAAAGATTGCTAGCTTGTGAAAAGTTATATAATGAAAGAATTAGTAAGCCAGATCATGTGACCTGACATTCTCACTCATCAGAGTAACTATACACGATGCTATATACAAAATTCACCTTCAAATCAAGTACAGGTACAAAAAATGACTGGAAAATGTGTAGTAATGAAAAACCAGTTATGATATACATCATTTTTATCTCTCTATTTCTCTATCTTCTTTATATTCTCTTTTCAACATGTATATTTCAACATTTCAAGTGGTTTACTAAGCTTATTCACTGTGTTCTCAGCAGATGAAACATATCAGATAAATATCTCATTTTTACAGACAAGATTCTGAAGAATGTGAAAACAGACCTCTATATACTTCAAGTGATATGAAATTGCTTTGAAAGAGAATAGCTCTATGACAGACTTATTATCAGCATGAATTGTATAAGTTAGACTATTAACTGTAGTGGAAATGAGATAATCATCAGCATTCAGATTGTTGAGACAGAATGAGATGAATTCAGCATCTTCTAGAAGCTCTCAGAGACAGACAAGCTTATATACAGTCTCAGAGAATGCAATATATTCAGTCTCTGTTAATAACTTGAAGACCTCTGTTTATCAGCAGCTCTGTCATGCAACAGAACTACCTGTTATGTAGATAATATAACTGGTGATTGAACAGGATTCTGAATTTCTATCAGCTCAATCAGTATCTGTGTATGCTACAGGTTCAATTTCAGCATCTCTGTGATAGATTATACTCTCATTGATTGAACTCTGTAGATATTGAAGTATACACTTGTATACAGCTCAGTTCTTTGATATAGACTGAGAGCTGAATTGTTCAAGAAATTCTGCACTGAAGCTCATATCAGAATGTGTATTAAATGCCAGATATTGCAGAGATTCAATACTGAATTGATAGAACTGTAGAGTAAATTCTGCTGTATATACAATCAGTTTCTCATTATCATTCATGAAATTGATGTTCTTCTTCATAGAAGTGAATGTAGAATGACAGTCATTCATTGAGAACTTCTCAAGAAGATTTCTTATAAAGAGAAGTTGAAATAATATCAATGAAGTTGAATCTCTATTAATCTTCATTTCTAGATAGCAGTTGAAATTCTCTACATCCTTGATCTCATAATTAGCAGTGATTTTAGCTTTGGCTCAGTTCAGATCTTCAATTTATTTTCAGACTGTAGAGACAGACATCATTCATATAGATGATTATATAGACCTGTCTTTCATTGTGAATAAATAGTTCAGCATCATAGAAACTGATATGAAAGTCTGAGTATAATAGCATCTTTTGCAGCTTCTCATATCATAAGAGTGCTACCTGCTTAAGACTGTAGAGTCTCTGCATCAACTCACACACAAGATCATCACAGTCTTCGCAGAATTCTGTGAATTAATTCATATATATCTGTTCATCAGCAGGCAGTTGAGCATTTAAAAATACAGTTATTATATCAATCTGCAGAACATATCATTCCTGAGATACTGAGATTGCTATGAGAGCTTATGAGATGAATGCAGAGATGACAGATACAAAGATTCTTGAGTAATTGACTCTCTTCTGTTGAAGATTTTCACAGATAACTCAGCAGGTCTTATAGTGAATAACATCACTCATATTATTGAACTTTTTATCAAATACTCATTGACTGTGAAGAACACTCATTTGTGATGTTCTCTCAATCAGTTATCAGACTTCTATCTGTTTCAAACAGTTGATCTCTTTAACACAGGCCTTATAATAATACTTTCATTTCATGAAAGCTTTGACACATGTGAGATTTTTCAGAATTGAAAGTGCAGTGATCTTGAGATTGATGAGTAGGTTTTCAAGACTGTCTCTCACTGAAGCTTCTCTCACTGTAGTGATATCTTTTATAGATGTTAAAGAATCATCTGATTCAACTGTAAGTTCTGAGAAGTTCAGTGTATTCTGCACTAAAAAAGTAGGTATTCTCGCGGAGATATCATAGTCAATCCATCAATTATTAGTGAATATGAGAAATAATGAACACTCAGATCGGATTTTCTCATCAATGAATAGATCAGAAATTACTGTAGTCTCTTGACAGACTGTAGTGAGTAGATCTGATATCACTGAAGAAATCATCACAGCTGCTTTATAAGCTGTATTGAGTAGAATCTTTGAGTTGTGTATTATTAATATTGATGAATTGACAAGATAAAGGTTCTTCTGAAAGATGATGTCTTTTGATATGTATAAATGCCTGTTGAAGAGGTTCATCAATCTATAATTAATAAAATCATCATAACTCATAAAAATCAACTCTTTGAAACAGAAAGCCATCTTATTGATGAGTTTGAAGACTATCTTCAAGAATGCTTTGCAACCCCATCAGTGAATACTGTGTGCAGAAGATAGAGCTTCAAGCCAGGTCTTATACAGTGTAATTGACTTTGTATTTTCAGAGCTCTCATACAATATTGTTGAGATTGACATAAGATTAAGCAGCTCTGTGACTGTAATAACTGTCTCACTTCACATCTTTTTCAGAGCTGAAGAGTCTATTAATAGTAATCAGAACTTCTCAATGATCAAACTGATCAATTATTCAGATACTTTATCTTGCTGTGAAGTATAAGAGAGAGTCAGCTCTCATTTTATATCTTCACTGAGTATGTATACTGTGACTGCATTTGAATTCAATTCTTCACAATCTGAGTGAATGATTGCAATGCCACATCTCAGCAGATTCTTGATGAATTGATTGAAGATCTGTAGATATCTCAATGTCTCATTCTTGTGTTTCAATAGAAATATTCATCTCATACAGATAGCATTATCTGTTATCATCATTGCAAGCTTCTTACCAGTGTAAGATGATATATCATTCTCAGTTTCAAGAGTCTCATCATCACTGAATATATTCACTCAAATCTTCAAGGCCTTGCAGGTGATATGATGTGGTGTGGAATTCTTGTAGAAAGCATGTTTCTGTTTAGACTTAATATATATAGCACAGAATGATAATTTCTTCAGACTGATAATAACAATATCAAATTATGAGTCTCTGATCATTTTTAATATACTATTTTCACTGATATGATCAAGTTGATGATGCCACTCATCTATCAGAAGCTGTTTCAGAAGGACTGCAGATAATTGAGATAAAGATAAGATAATAAAGAAATCAGTATCTGAATTCTTAGAGTTGATTAACTGTTCAATCTTCTCACAGCTGAAAGATCTCAAAGACTCAGTATTCAGATTGTAATCTGTTGAGATTGTCTTTGATTTCAGAACAGTTACATATATCACTGCTTTATACATTGAGTTGTTCATTATCTCATGAAATGTCAGTGAGCTGTTGAATAGAATGTAAATATTATTATAAAACAGATTGATATAGAAGATATCACTGTTAATAGATAACAGAAACTCAAAGTAGTTCTCAGCATCAATTTACAGATTATAATAAATATAGCTCTGATGTTTCATAAGTTCAGCAGAGATCAGATTTGCAGATAGCTCTAACATGTAGTATACATAATTGAATTCTATCAATCTTTCACTCACTGAAATGAATGCAGTGCTGACACTCTGAATCTTTATAATGATCTTATTAGTCACTTGAACTGTTGAATCATTGATTGCTATAAGTTCTGAAAATTGTGATCTATCACTTGCTATGTGGCATCTGACGTCACTATCTCATATAGTGAGAGAATTCTTATGAGGTTTCATGAAACAGACTGACACATTGATAATCTCTGTGAGATTTGTCATCTGATAGATGTCTGATTCATCTGTAATAAATAGTTGAGTTCTACTCTCACTATTGTTCTTTTTCTTATTTTCCTTGAATTTCTTTATTCTTGCAGTATTGTTTATTCTTCAATTATCTGAAGCACTGTCTGAATTGATTAATTAACAGATGTCAAAGTGAGATCTCTTACATTCAGAACAGGTAGATGAGTTTTCTGATCTCTGATGATTTCAGAAGCTCTCTTAAGTACTATTACAATCACATTCAGTACAGTCTTCACAGGCCGAATTCAATGTATTGTTGTTTAAATTGATAGTTGTTGTAACTGTTGTAGCTGTCATAGCTGTGTTAACTGCAGAATCTATATTCTGCAGATTCTTTTTATCTTTTGAAGAATCAAGCTGTGAACGGATTTCCTTCATGAGAAAATCAACATTCAATATCACAGCTGTGAATTTAGAATTCTGTATCTTCTCTATCTTCTTCTGAATGTAATTTCTTCAATTGTTGAGTAGAACTGAGTAGAAGATATCAAATATTTATGCATCTGAGAGAGAAGTATTCAACATCTTCAATTTTATAATGACAGACTGAAACTTATTAAAGAATGTGTGTAGATTGATGATCTGTGTATTATCAAGAGATATGAATTTCAGAACTGTCTTATAATATAACTGTGTTTTGAGAACAGAGTATTTCTATTTAATCACATTTCATAGAGTATAAGTGATTCAATTTTCATTATACTTGAAGAAACATGGTCTGACACCTGCATTCAAGAAGTTCAAGATAAATGTGTAGAGTCACTGATTTCTGACATCTCAGAATGATACTCATTTGTCATCTCTTTGTAGAGAGTTCTGAATCTGTTGTTTCTCTATTATATATCAGCACTGTGCATCAATCAGTTTCAATTTCATGAAGATACTTCATGTGATGTAATTGAATGTATCAGTTAAACTGTTTAATCTCACAGTATTCTTGATATCTTTCTTAAATTGAGAGATTGCCTTGTCAACACAGCTATCTGATTTATAAAGATTGAATTTCAATCTTTCACTGAGATTAGAATTTCATGTGACTGTACAGACTGTTAATATAATGACAGAATAATTGTTGACATTCTGTGATCAATCTGTAGAGAATGAGAATCTCTGTTAACAGAGTTTTTTCAGTTGTAGTTTGAGTTCTAGAACTCTTTGCTTTCTCTTGTTCATCTCAAGTATTATCTTGAGATACTTCATCTATTGATTTGATATTGCCTTATTTAAACAGTAAACATCTGAATGTTCATTATTCTTATCAAGAGAACCAGCTTTATCAAGCTGTTGAGTAGATCAGAGAGCCGGCCTGACCGTGTCAGAAGCTGTATTTAAATCAGCTTTGAATTGAGAGAGTGTTTCATTAATGAAGCTTTCAAAGACTTCAGAAGAATGTTCACTGACAGAGTATGAATATGAAGAATCATCATCATTATCAACTGCAACTGATTCAGTGAAAAGAACATGAGATTATGAATGTGTATATAAGTGAGATTGTATTAAATTCATTATCTTGATATTCATTTATTGAATCCTTGTCAATATCATTCTCTTTTCTTACTTTTTTTTTGCAAATGTGATATGTTTTCTGCAAGTCTCTTTTTTAAGTGAGTAGTAGTATTATTGATTATCAAGATCTCAAATACATCAATACTGATAGAATAAGATGATTTTAACTTCTGATGAGCATATCAAATGAAGCAGTAGTTCAAATAATGATTATATTAACAAGGAATCCCGAATTGACAGTGATTTTGTGCAAAACAGGTCTCATAACCTGTGGAAGGTGTAAAGCTTGTGTGATTGAAAGGTTGCTAGCTTGTGGAAAGTTATATGGTGGAAGGATTAGTAAGCCAGATCACGTGACCTGACATGACTTGTATCAAAAGTAGGTTAGTGTCATGCCGGATTAGTTAATAATAATGCTGCAACCCGTTCAAACCGAGCCAGAGGTCTGAGCCCGCTGAGATAAGTGTAGGCTACTGGGGCAAAAGAGCTCAATCACCACCAGCGCCTGCTGGTAGAAGGGCCGACCAACCGCGGGACCCTCAACACCCCCCCTCGGACCAGCTACCACAGAGTACAGTACTTCCCCTCAGTGGCTCCCTTCAGTGGCCTCCCCACAATGGCTCCTCTAATAATGGACTCAGTCAGTCCTAGGGCTCACAGGACTTCTAGGGCACACTCCTGGGATGTCTCTTGGCACTGTTAAAATGTCCAGGATATTTGTTAGGAATTTTTAAGTCCATTCTGGGATCAAACCCATGCATGTTGACCACAGCGGGGCTCACGCTTAACAGTCTCATAACCTGTAGGCTACTGGGGCAAAAGAGCTCGATCACCACCAGCGCACTGCTGGTAGAAGGGCCGACCAACCGCGGGACCCCCAACAATAAGTGATAGTAGTGTCAACTTTCTGAATCACGTGACCAAAGATGCCTCGTGTTTCCGTCGAAGAACTCTTTTTGAAACATGTTAAGAAATGTCAACAACTTGCTGACAGTTGTGGTTTTACCATTGCTTATCAGAAAGAGAAGGAAAGTAGTGAAAACATGATATGTCACAGAAAGAAGACACCTGCTACTGATGACAAGTATGCCAGAGTGGTTGAGAACTGGATATTGTGAGTGTTAATGTGAGAAAATAACTGCTGTATCATAACTAATTATCAAGTAGGTGGAGGGTTTTTCACAGTGAATCAGCAGATAAAGAGTTTGCTAAGCATGAGCCTGATCTCTCAATATAAACTCTGAAAAACTTTGCTGAAGACTATGTTGCTACGCACATCGAGATTCCAGCGCAGGATACGGCTTGCAACCATATGTCTGCTTTCATTTCAGAGTGAAAAAAAAAAGACCAAACATAGAGATAAATTTCCTGTTACCAAGGAGGATATTGAATATCATCTGGATCAGTTATTCGGCGATGACGACCACGATTATGAACACGAACATATAACAGTCTACCTAGGTTTTCTTTTGTCTCTATTTTCGGCTTCGGGAGCAAGAGCAGGCTCTATTGTGGAATCTAGCGCTTACCATGGATCCAATGAATGTTTATATTATCAGGTCAGTTTTTAAGCTTAGGAGACATTTCAAAAGCAAGCTAACTGTGATTATAGCACCTTACATTTAATTTGAGATGGATTGCGGGGGGCCGGGTAAAGTACTGGGCGACTCTTGACCCAGAATTTTTGAAAGGAAATCGATACAATGATGAAGGTTTGACATAAGTCTTGCCTGGCCCATTATCACTTAGTTATACTTGGATTGAAATAGGTCGAGGAACTGGATAGGAGAGCAAGAAGTGTTGGGAAAAAATTTCATTTTCTGGTTGGGTGCCATCAGTATCGCAGATCGAGCATTCAAGGGGATTTGCACAGTTCAGGAATTGCTAAGCAAACCCGCCCAAAGGACATGAGTCATGGACCCTTGAATGGGAGGATAGCATGAAGAATGTTCCAGTGCTTTGTATGGTCACTGCAGCTGGTCCCAACAGCTACCGTGGTATGACCTTCTCGTGTATGCGGCATCATTTCTTAAATTTATCAAAGCGAGCTTGCTTTCGTGATCGTCTTAGAGTTCATGGGATTGGAGGTGGTGTTGCCAATGCATTTGATGGTCTGTACCCCTTACTATCCAAAGAGCCTTCGCTTACCGCGTTTCAGTCAACACATCAGAAGCTAGTCGGAGCCAAGCACTCTATCATGAAGATCCCAACACATACCTTAAATACCAATCAAAGGTCCTCGCCCTCGACATTCAGGCCTGTTTTTGGGGCCTAGCTCCTGATCACGAGGTTCTGGAAATGGAACAGAGCATGGCACACCATAGAGATACCAATGTTCCGCAACACCTTGATGCCGAGGTGATTGTTGAACTTGAGAGAGATGCAGAAATGATTGATATAAACTTTAAAATCACAGAACTTACAAAGAAGATTGGAAAACACCCTAGGGACCATGAAGACCTTGTCCGCGAACAAGCCAAGCTCTATAATAAAGCATTGAAGATGCGCCGTCAAAAATTATAGGAATATAGAGAAAACTGGTGGATTTCAACAGGAAATGAATTCACAGAGAGAGATACAACCTCTATATTTGAGATTTGCTGAAAATTTATGCCAGAGAGAAGCTGCCTGAGAGATAAATCTCTTCATGAAAACCTTGTTGGATAGCAAAGCTGGTATGCAGTGTTTGCAAGACATGGTGAATCTTTGCATCTCGAGGGAGTGAGTTGCATACTATCCAGGAGAGGCACCATTGGATGAGTGTTGCCCTGTGTGCTCAACAAAGATGACTAGGTATGCATGCCCCATACAATGAACTCTCTAGCACTAATTACTTGAAGCCTCGCGTTGCAGTCCTGTTTGAAGCATATTTTACAGTGCTGCAGGAAGTCATGCAATGCCACTCCATATCAGCAGCAATATAAGAATGGGAAACAGGCTCATCGCCGAACGAATTGCTTGTTTCTCAAGTACTGTTACTTGTGTGCTAAGTGTTTTCCTGACCCTATGGCTTGGAAAGAGCATTGTACCTTTCACCTCAACAACTTGCAACCATGATGTGGCATCCTTACCCTTCATTACACCCTTGTTGCCCCAGGGTTTTGTCCGGACTGCTTAGGAGATGAGAGCATGCAACCTGATGAAAGGTTCCAACAATGGAGGGTTAAATCCACCCTTCTTAATCACATCGATGAGGTACACCTGATGAAGAAGAAAACCGAAAGCAAGCTCAAATGTCCCCACCCATGCTGTGACGACCAGTGTTATGAAGGGATATTAGCACTTTGAAACCACTATTTCAACTGACACTCTATTGAGGAACCTCGATGTAACTGTGTTTCTTGAAAGAGAAATTTTGATGCTAGCTTCAGCAATCTGAATGCAGAAGCATCAAAGCTACACAAACCCAACACAGTGAATCAGAGGATCATGAGTCCTGACAATAGCACCGGCATGTCAGGTCCTAATGGAGAACACTGGTGTTGGGGGAACATAAGATTTGAAAGAGCAGTGCCTGATTGTCTAGACCTGACAGGCATACGGTTTGGTGTTCTTAACAGCTAGCTTTCACATGAAAATGTTAATAAACTACCTTTGAGAGAGATGTTCTGATTTTGTGTCATGATATTTTTAAATAATTTGCTGCAGAGAAGGTTATGACTGGTCAGTCATTTATATTCTAATCTATGCTAGATACTCCAATTCTAATCACTGATGACAATCCACCCTTGTATAATTTCCTTCTGAAATATGAAGTAGTGATAACCAACACTCCACATCTGGGCTCAGCCCTCAATCACTACTGGCCCTGAAAGAGATTCTGAAGCTCTAGCTTGAGTTCTTCATCATATTTTGTTGTGGGAATGTAAAGACAATTCCTAACATCACTCAGAAAGGAGTTTCTGTGGTGGTTGAGACTGTTCTGATGAGCCCTTATGCTTCCACACCTCAAACCTGGGGAGGGTGAGGATGATGCGTAACATGTCTGAATAGGTGACAGTTTCCCCTGTCTACTTAGGTTAAAGTAGAGCTTTCTGGCTGTCAACTGACTGATGCAATAAGCTAAGAAAGCTGCCCACGACTCTTCGAGCCGAATCCCCTCATTACTTGGGTGAAAGTAGAAATTTACAGCCGATCAAACGAATGAGCACCAAGAGAGCTACCAACAACAACATTTCAAGTCGAATCCTGACTACTAGGTTAACGTAGTACTTAACGGTCGTCGACCGAACGGCCGTCCTTTTCAAGGGTCTATAGAGCACCCGAAAAGGAAAATCCCCTGCACAAACTAACGTGCATACGAATCTGCCGGAACCTCGAAAAGGCTCAGAGGATCGGAAATCCCAAGATTCGAAACATCCCTTAGCCTGAACGGCTAAATTTTCGATATGGTAAACGAACGTCACTCCGTATCGAACGAACGAGTGAAAGTCCCTAAAGCCAACACTAGGGATATCGCCACCGGCACCCTACCTACTTACCCCGAACAAGTCTACATCACTGATGGAATGGGAAATGGATGGGACAATTTTTTTGACTTCTTTATGGTTCCTACTTGTTACTAGGCACATGGGCATGCCAATGGGAATCATTTTGTACTTAGTTTTTTTGTTTTTTTTTTTTTGTTTAAACAAGCTGCAAGGAAGCTAGCCTGGTGTTAGGCTCAGGGCATGGACACCCGCAAGGTTACTGACCTGGTTGACACACCCTACATTTCCCGGAGATGGATGAAGAAGGAGAAATTGTTCCAGGCACGGATTCTGGAATAGCCACTCACTGTTGGTGCACATACAAATCAACCCACTGCTTTCGCGGGCGATTTGGCCACACGCCACAGCTGCGACGGGCGCACTGCCAGATAAATACATGGAAAAATGACTCGAGATCATGTCGATATGTATGATCGATGTTGAGCAGCACCTCGATAGCCATGAACTCCATGGTGCCAGTGCGACAGCGCGCGCGGCTAACCCTAACCTACCTACGCAGTAAGGGCTAAACTACATAGTGGATTACATGAGTGTCAACATGATTGGCCACCCATCATCCGTATGCCTACTGCTCGCGAACTCTCTAGCATGGAGGTGGAAGCTCTAGAAACCACGAAACAAGGGAAAAAGCTCAGATGAGATCGATGTAAACCTAACTAAGTCGCCATCGAGCTCAGCGGGAATGGTGAAAAATAGAAAGGATGAAAACTCTGCAACGGCGGATCATCTATATGATCCGGCCCGAATGGCTGGAGGCTAACTACGACGAGACTAGCGCTAGTGGTGTCTCGAGGCGCTCTCATCAATATTAACGCAAATGCGCACGGTGAACATGCAACTTTGCAAAGAGCCTGGTGGATTATGCTCTGGAGATGGTGGTGGTGGAAGATTGTTACCGGGACAGTCGAATATCTAAGCATAATCTAATCTGTGACCTCCGGATCTTTCTGTGCATCTTGAAGTATTTTTCTCATTTCTGAACCTAGGTTTGGGTTTATTTCTTTCCATCGTCCGCTGTTTGGAAACACAATCCGCCGTAGCCTGTTTGCCCAGGGGACCAGTGGTCGGTAATATGGAGTGAAATTGTCATCCACAATTCTAAGGAAATCCGATTCATCACTTATCAATCCTTTCTTTGCGCCGGCAAGTTTTTCCGTGCTCATGTAGTTCCATTCCTCAAAATCCTCAACAAGCTTGCTCTTACCCGGGCCTTCGTAGTGAACACATATCCAGAAAAGCACCCAGAAGAACGACTCAAGATCATGCATGAATGAGTGCTTCTCCCCATACAACACACCGATCGCCATGAAAGCTCTGGTGCCAGTCTTGCCCCGTGTTCCTGAGAACCCGTCGCGTTGCGTTCGGATGGCAAGGTCAAGGTCAATCAAGAAGGACCGCCATGAAGGGTTGTCATCATCTTCATTGACCAAAAGATTTTGCGGCGAGATATCACTTTGAATCAACCCAGCCTTGGAGTACAGGGATTCATATCCTACAATGCAGCCTTCCATTCCAACAAGTAGAGCCACTCTTGAGCTGCTTTCATAGATAGGCTTCCCGTAATCTCGAACAATGACGCGACGGTGCACTCGATTTGGAGGGCTACTGTGTGCAGGACGCTTTATTGGAGAGCTGGACTGGGTACGTTTGCTGGGGGGAGAGCGAAGTATTGTGTCCACACAATCAGAAGACCGTTTCTGCCCGATGGTGCTGCTTCGGCTGGTACAGCCTCTATTAGATGCACTCCTCCTCAGGGCCACCTGCAAGCTACCCTTCTTGGATTTCGACGTAGTGACCTCTAGACCCTTTCGAATAGTATGCACATCATCGTCCTTGCCGTCCACCTGGACAGTTTCGTGGAAATCATATCGAGCAACGCGCGTGGCTCCCCTCTCCATCGCCTCTTGTAGCAGTTCCCCTTCCTCATGGCGCTCCGGATACTGCCAAGAGTCCTTGATTACCAGGGGGATCCGCGACTTGTCTGTTTCGCGATGAGCTTTCCAGCAGGTTGTGGCTCGGCCCGCGACACAGCGTGCCCGTAGAATCACCTCATCAATCACTAGACGCTCCTTCTTACCATCGCGCTGAATCTCAATGTAGCGCTGACTGCCTACTGTGACAATGGTCGGATCAAAACCAAGCTGCTGTTGGTCCATGAAAAGGAATCCCAGGATCACCATGATGAACTGAAAGCCATCCTTGTTGATGTTGATCTCCTCCGAGCCGATCCCGCCGCAACGGTCGAATTCCCAGACGCGCAGGAGCGGCCCGCACAGTGTGAAACCAAGGACAAAGCGGCGGTTGTCCTGCGCGGATAGCACTTCTCGGGCATATCTGGCCAGATCGAGTCTCGCCCCAGAAGGCATGTCATACTTTCGGTCATTCTTCAGTTCTCCCGGCACCAGGATCTGTGACCACTTGCACTGTTTGTCCTGTGTGGCACCCGGATCATCCACAAATCCAATGTCGAGTTTTCGCTTTGCGATGGATCCGGCAATCGGCTGAGCAGGCTGGGCCAATGGCCTGCGGACGACTGTTCTAGTTGGATTGTGATCTTCCGCAAACTGCACAAGCTGGTTGATGGTTTCAGTTAGCCAGTCCAGTACAGGCTTCTCGTCTGCATTGCTAGGCCAATCCTTCCATCCACTCTCCTCGCTGTAGATGGGACTGTCACCAGACTTGCAGTTCTCAAACACGGTCTGCGCGGTCGATCTGAGCCCCTCGATATCATCAAAATAAGCAGCATAAAACCCAGGAATATCCGCATGAAGGTCTCCCAACAGTTCCTCCCTCAGCATGTGATCAATGTTTGTTCGAAGCTCAGATGAGTTGGCGAGGCTGCTGGTGTTGCGCGAGCGCGGGGTCTGTAGAATAGGCAGTGATGACCTGGGAGGAGGTGTGGACCTTTCAGCATGTGTGACCGAGGTGATGAAGTTGAAGACAGCTTTCCAGATGTCGGTGTCGGGTGCGCTTTGTATGATGGGTTGGACGAGTGGTTGGTAATGGTCATAGCTGTAGTTGCTTTCTCGAAGGCAAGTCAATAATTTCGCGAGTTCTGATATGACATCCTGGCTGCTTGTTGGTGGACGGAGATTATAGGCTGCCTTTTCATCCATCAAAGCAATTAGAACCTTCGATATTTTCATTTGATCTGTTTGATCGGGATCACCAGCAACACCATCGTAGGATTCCAAGTGAGGCTGCTCTGTCCCTTGAAGCAAGCCACGTAAGCGATCGAGTGATCTTAGAGGGTATTTCTCAATCAAAGTAATCTCATCTAATGATAACTCTACCATGCTAGCAATAGAAAATCTATAAGGCTTGGATTGATGTTGACGAAAAGAGTGTTGGAGGATGAAGTTAAAATTTGGACAGGCCAAACCTTGAGGTTTTTTATTCTCGACCGAGGTGGAACTGGCTGATATTTATACATGTAAGAATATTAGTTTCAGATTCTGTTGAACTATAAATGACATTATTGGCTGAGTGATAATCAACAATTCTACTTTTTTATTCTTACATGTATTTATATAAATCAGTCTCCCTTGTCTTTTATACCCATGTCTACCATACAAGTTTTGAAAGATGCCCTTTCTTGCCTCGGACGCGTATGGTTCCTAAGATGCATCTTAGCTATTGGATAAATAAGCCGTTGCCCGTACCAACCACCACGACGACCCTCGCCCCCACGATCAACGCGAGTGGCTAGGATGGAGCCCCAGTTGGAACCCGAATCGGCTCGACTCAGTATGAGAGAGTCCAGCCTTGAATCAGAGAATGAGCAGGGAAAAGAGTACAGTACCCCTTGACGAAAAACGCAGTCAAGGGCCTACTATGGAGCAAGCACTGGCAGGATGGGAGAAATTCAAGCCTAAGATGGATGAGGAACCAACTAAGATGTCTGCTGTTGTTAATAAAGAAGTTAATGCGATAGCAATGATAGATTCTGGTTGCTCTTCTTATGGAATCATTTCCTCTTGTTTTGCTACGAAGTGCTAGCTCCCGCGTATCTCTATCATTCCCCGTGATGTGGAAGGTTATAGCGGTGAGGTCTACGAAGAAATAACGGAAGTAGCCTGTCTTGAGCTTGACATCGCAGGATATGTGCAAATGAAAGCTTACATGTACATTGTTAAGAACTGCGGAGACAGCGATATGCTCCTAGGTGTCCCATGGTTGAATGAATCTGGTGCCATCCCGGATTGCCGCGCGAGAACTCTGCGCTTCGACTCAGGTATTGTGGTCCAGGAAAACGCGCACCGAAAAATGGAACTACCTCAGATCTCTACGATTGCCTACGCACGATATGTCCAACGGAACCGGAAAGATACCACCAGTGTGTTTGCCCCCAGCTTGGCCGATATTCAAATGGCCCTACTTGTCAAGAAGCACTCCAACTCAGTAGAGAAGCTACCTAAGTACTACCACGAATTCTTGGAAGTCTTCAGCAGAGAAGCTGCAGACCGGCTGCCACCACTACGCGGGCCCAGTGTGCACCACTCAGTAACTCTGGAAAAGGTTGATAGAAAGGATGTCGCCCCCCCCCCCCCCTCTATAAACTACTGGTACTACGGAAAACGCTCAACGAACTTCTTGAAGAGGGTTTCAATAGGGTGAGTAAATAACTCCCCTGCGGTAGCCCCGGTCTTGTTTACGAAGAAACCTAGTGGAGGCCTACGCTTTTGCGTGGACTACCGCGGACTCAACGCCCTAACAAAGAAAGACCGATATCCGCTGCCCTTGATCAACGAGACTCTGGAACGGATCGGGCGCGCTAAGTGGTTTACGAAGATGGATGTTATCGCCGCCTTCCACAAGATTCGCATCGCTGAAGGAGACGAATGGATGACTGCTCTCCGAACACGCTATGGACTCTATGAATGGTTGGTTACTCCCTTTGGTTTGGCTAACGCCCCAAACACGTTTCAAAAGTTCATCAATTGGACCCTGCGCGAGTACTTGGATGAGTTCTGTTAAGCGTATATTGACGACATACTGGTTTTCTCCTCTGGAAGTTTATAGCAACATCGGGATAACGTCAGGAAGGTCTTGACCAAGGTGAAAGAGGCCGGCCTTCAACTGGACATCGACAAGTGCGAGTTTGAGGTAACCTCGACCATGTACTTAGGTTTCATCATTGAGGCGGGCAAGGGGATCCGTATGGACCCCGACAAGGCTAAGGCTATCAAGGAATGGACGGGCCCCAAGACGACCAAGGGTGTACGAGGATTCTTAGGCTTCGCGAACTTCTACCCACGGTTTATCAAGAACTTCTCCAAGATTGTAGCCCCCCTAGTGGAACTAACGAAAAAGGACACGGCTTTCAGATGGACGGACCAAGCGGACCAGGCTTTCGAAGATCTCAAGGACATGTTTCTATCGGCACCCATGCTTCTGCAGTTTGACCCGAAACGGACCACGGTTGTTGAAACGGACTCATCTAGCTACGTAACTAGAGGAGTCCTGTCCCAATACAACGACAAAGGAGTCTTGCGACCGTGTGCCTTCTACTCCAAGAAGAACTCGCCGGCGGAGTGCAACTATGATATACACGATAAGGAGTTGCTCGCTATCATACGCTGCCTAGAGGAGTGGCACTCGTGCTTACGGAATACTGGACACTTCAAGGTCATCTCGGACCACAAGAACTTGAAGTACTTTATGACCACTCGACGCTTAAATGAACGACAGGTCAGATGGGCAGAGTTCTTAAGCCGCTCTGACTTTGAGATCAACTTCCGCCCAGGAAAGGACAACGCCACCTCCGACGCCCTGTCACGACGAGAATAGGATATGCCCAGCGGAATGGATGACGAACGCCTGAAGCATCGGGAATTCCAGCTGCTGAAGTCTGAAAGTCAACGCAGGTTACACGTCAACTGACCCCTCGCGTAGGTCAGTTGAGCGCGCTAGTGCTAGTGAGCTGACCCAAGTCAAAAAATGAGTCAGCTGAGATTAGAACTGAGATGAGATTTTACATTCTTGTACATTCTAATAAACACAGTCAAAATAAATAAATAAGATTCTTTTATTATTAATGATAATAAAGATGTGTTTGATCTTGATTTAAATCAATATAATTTATATGAGAAGTATACAGAAGTTGTCAATGAAAACACAGTACATATTATTAATAATTTACTATTACTTAATCAGTTGCTGATTAGTTAGTTATTTTATAAATATATTATATTAACTAATTAGCAAAGTATAAGTATACTTTTAATATAGAAAATTAAGTATATGAATCTGATTTCTGAATACTTTACAATCTCATTTAAACTGACTGATAAGACTATGAATTTCACATTTAATTTTATTTAATTTAATTTCATACATTTCTTAACATGAATTTTATCAGAACTGAGTATTAAAAAAATCTAAAAATGAATCACTTTTTTCAGAAATGATGTGAAAAATAATCAGATTTAACTTAAAAATAGTGAAATAAAAGTATTATTATTATTATTATTCTTTTATTATAAATATATACAGTCAGAGACTATAATATTTAGACTGACTTTGTAACTATATCTGAGATCAGAATTAGAATATTTAATACTCTTATTATTAATTTAATTAATCTTATTATACAGTATTTAATAAAGATGATATAATAGAGTAGTTAATTATATTATTAAGATTTATCTATTATGCGGTCTTTTATATATGTAGGTGTAAGAGGCCTACGCTGAATAGATCAGTATAATATTGATAGGTCTTATATAACAAAGATAAAAACATTAGAAAAGGAAAGAAAGAGAAAGTGTAAGAATCAGTGATTGAGATAAATATTTATACATGTATGTGATGATGTACGCAGTGAAGCTTCAGAGTGGAAGAATATACATGCATTCATAGTGACTGAGAATCAGTGATTGAGAATAACTGAGAATTGAAGTGTATGCTACACACATTTGTAGCGGCTAAGGATCAGCAATCAGAAATGGCTGAGAATTGAAGTGTACACTATATATGTTCATAGCAGCTGTGAATCAGTGATCAGGAATAAAAGAATCTATAAAGTGTAATGAAATAGTCTATATAATTGATCAGGCACAGTCTGTCATATTAGTTCTCTCTTTTCAGAAGCAGTTCTCATCAGTCAAGAATCACTGTTTCAGATAATATAGAACTCAGAGTTCAGATTAGTTAATTATAGCTGACTTATTTTATAAGATATTATCAGTCACAGCTGTAGAATCTCTCATTGAGAATATTTTCAATCTCTTACTTAAGCTCATTATCTTCTTCTATGATGTCTGACAGCTGTCAGTTAGAAGTCAGCTGAGAAGAGAACAGATCAGTGATAACATAACAGAGCAAGCTCATGTGAAATATATTATAAATTTCTGATAATATGTTAAGATAATAGTTATAACTATCTAAAATCTCTATCACTTTATATCTGATATGATGATAGTCTAGTATACAAGATGAACATGTGATTTATATATTCTTGAGATTCAATTATACAAGATCTTCTATCTTATACTACTCTGTAGAATCTCATCAGATATTAATTTAATCTTCTTAGTCTTATTTCACAGTTATTATGAAGATCTCTACTCAGTCACAGATATCTTAGAGCTTTATTATTATATTATCAGTGATCTGAATTAAACTGTAGAAGTTTGATATAAACTGTATAATCTCTAGAAGATTCAACACTTTTATATAATACTTATATATAAGAAAGAACAGACTTATCTCTATTAAAACAGCATTTTAACTGTTAATAACAATCTCTATATGTAGAAGAAGATTATGTTAATCATCTTATAAGTGATTACAGAACTTATAAAGATAATTCTTTACAGTCTGAATTATCTATTCTGATGTATTATCAGTCTTAGAGTGATAGATAGTTAATAGATAGTATATAATTCTGAGAACTTGACAGATTCTTATTCAGAGAGTACTCATAAATTAGTAGTCTTAATCTAATACTATTAATCTCAGTAATTCATATATCTGATAGAATAAACTTTATAAGAAGGCTTCAGTGACTTGTTCAGTATTCATCTTATTATAAGATTTTAATATTATATTCTTATTTAGTCAGTTAATAATGACTAGAATATTTCTGCAGCTCTTGCTCTTAGATAGATTAATAGTAAAGTTAATCACTATATCTTATCAGATTCTATTAGAGATATTAAGTGATTTCAGTAGATCTTTTCTACAGTTCTTTCATAAGATAATAGAAGAATAGTAATTACAGTCTCAGACAAAGTATCTGATACTGTTTAATATCTCAGATCAGTAGAATTCTCAGAAGATCATTCTATACAGT